TACATATGATTGTAGAGAGATTGTTCATGGAAACCAGGTGAATTATGGAATCTACTTTTTTTTGATACAGTATCACTTATCCAAATGTAAAAGCATTTGTGGAGTGCTTACAGGAGATATTTGACCTCCTTATTCATCCATTATTTATTTTGGGGAGAAAGCTCATGAGTTTGATCCAACTGTATAAATTTGCACAGTACAATCTTTCTAGGCATTTTAGAGATGAGTGTTTAAATTGGAAAGATCTTGTTCATAATTTGTTTCCGGACTAATTGCAAACAATTATGCGCAATCATTTTTAAACTGGTTATGTACTTGGAAAGTAAACTCTCAAATCCTTCCTCTCTCCTTTCTCCCAGTTTCCCGAGGTCACATAATTGCTGACATGTTGGGGTGGGAAGTAAATGAACTTGGCATCTTGCTAACAGAAGTGGCTGCTATAGGTATATGAGCAACCACTTTTCTGGGTCTCTTGCCTTGGTTTTTTTTTCCACCTGCATCCCAGTTAGGAAAAGTGAAAACAAGTTCAATTTTGCAAGGCAAGAGAGCTTCAACAAAGCAAGCAAATGAGCTGGACAAGAACCTTTTTATCTGAAGGCAAATTTGAATCCAGTTCAGCAAGAGCAGCATTGCTGTTCAATGGGCCGTATCTCTTTGATTTGATAAATTGAAAATCTTTCGATTCTGGTCTTGGAGGAATTTTATCTGGTAACAAAATTCAATGCAGCTGGCTTTTGCCAAACTAGGAGATAATCTTAACATCTATTTGTAGATGACCATAACAGTAAAGAATTGGGTGAAAATGGAGGATAACCCAGAAATATTACATTTTATCAAAACAATTTAATTCCGGCATTGTCCTGTTATGTTCATAGAGTTTAATATGAATTACTACTTTTAGAACCTATTAAGAATACCAGCTATCCTTCAGGGAATATATGTAAATGTTGAAGTATAAATCACTACTTAGTTCTGCAGCACAATTTTGTAGCTTTGCCTCATTCTATTTTGATACCGAGACAGATACATTTTCAATCTGAATTTAAATTTAATTGTCAATACTATTTGTTGGTGATGAGAGGAACAATGTTTTAATGTCAGCTCAATTTGTTGGATTCAATCGACTCAGGGATTTACGCTCTTTGTTTCTGGGGCAGAGTGAAATAATCCAGATTAGTGTGGTATGAATGGGGTTTTATTTTGAATTCATCGGGATTGTGTTGTCTGTACTTCACATAATTGTAGTTATGTGGAAGACCTACATTTTAATTGGGATTTTCCCTTCTGACCAGATTTTTATTTCTCCCCCCCCCATCTCAAATGGCTTGGCTAGATTCCCTCTGCTGTTTTTGATGGTAACCAGTACATCTGTTTTGAGAATGGAGCAATGGTGACTTTTGCTAGACAGGTTAAGCATTGAGGCTAAATTAGCCTTCTGGCTAATTCTTGTACACCCAAGGGAACATTTTAGGATCAAATGAGATTAACTGCATTGTTCATTGGCACTGTTCCTCCCCCCCTCAAAACAGCCACTATTACCCCCACCTTGAAAAAACCTTCTCTTGACCCATCACAGCTATCCAGCTACCGACCCATCTCAAATCTCCCTTTCCTATCCAAGGTCCTTGAGAGAGCCGTTGCCTCCCAGCTTCGCTCTTTCCTCTCCTCTCACCCCCTCCATGAACCCCTCCAATCGGGTTTCTGTGCTGCCCACAGCACAGAAACTGCTCTGGTCAAGATCACAAACGACATCCTATGCCTCCTTGTCTTCCTCGACCTCTCCGCCGCCTTTGACACCGTTGGCCACTCAATCCTCCTCCACCGCCTCTCCTCCCACCTCAACCTTCAAGGTTCTGTCCTTGACTGGTTCAGGTCCTACCTTTCACACCGCTTCCACTTCATCGCAGCAAACAGTTTCTCCTCCAGCCCCGCACTGTCTCTTGCGGTGTTGCTCAGGGTTCTGTCCTCGGTCCCTTCCTCCTCTCCCTCTACATTCTCCCCCTTGGTGACGTCATCCACAGAAATGGGGTAAATTTCCACATGTATGAGGATGACACCCAACTCTACCTCTCTGCCTCCACCCTGAACTCCAGGACTACTGAGGTCCTGACCGACTGCCTGTCCGACAACAAGTCCTGGACGAGGGTCACCTTTTTCCAACTCAACGTCAGCAAGACCGAGGCCCACCTGATTGGCTCGCGCCAGCGCCTCCGCACATCAGGCGCCGGCAGCATCAGCCTCCACGGCTGCACACTCAACCTCACTAAGCCGGTCAGGAACCTGGGTGTCTTGTTTGACCCTGAACTGTCCTCTCTCCCCCACATCCGCGTCATGACCGGCACTGCCTACCACCACCTCCGCAACATTGCCAGACTCCGCCACTGCCTCACCCCTCAGGCTGCCGAAACCCTCACCCACACATTCATCACCCAAGGCTCGATTACGGGAACTCTCCTCATCGGCCTTCCCAACTCTTCCGTTCACAACCTGCAGATCATCCAAAACTCTGCAGCTCGTGTACTCTCACACCCCAGGCTCCGCGACCCCATCACTCCCACCCTCGCCTGACTCCACTGACTCCCCATCCCCCAGAGGATCGAGTTCAAGATCCTCGTCCTTGGGAAATTTTTTCTTAGAACCATTCTAACAGGAGTGGACATTGAAGCACTCCTTAAACAGGAATGGAGGACAACTGGAAATGTTTCCTGAAAAATATCTGAAATGGGCCTGGTGAGCCTTTTGTTTTTTTAACATTAGTTCTGTTTCAGGGCAATATCAGCATTCATCTGGTAATACTTTAGTTAAAACTGGATCAGTTCTGAAGGTTAAAAATATTTTAGCCAAGATAGATACTATACATCAAAACTGCATTTAGAAATATGAAGTACTCCCAACCCCTTCATTAGCATATATCGAATCTGAAAATAAATTGTTCAATTTGTTATTACTTAGTGGGTTATGTTGAAGCCAAATAATTCATTAAATCAATGTCTGCAACTATTGTGTAATTAGCACAGTGTTTCTATAGACATGTTAGCATCTTAGCTCGATAGGAGTTTGATGTCAATGATTTGGGGTTCTGCAAAACTACCTACTGCACATCTTAATATCTAGCTGAAAGTTTAAAAAAAACTAATATGCAAGGAAGTTTAAGTGGGTTGAGGATTGATTGGCACAATTTTCAATAAAATAACATGACTTTGACTGAAAATGAGCAATGCCCAGCATTTAATTTTGTCTACAAGGCCTGATGAACTTTCAGTCTGTTTAAAGGATTGATTGAGTGAATGTCCAAATATGAACAACAGGAACTTGATAGAGCGCGACTTGCACAGGTCTGCTTTGTAGATTGCTTCTAATCTGCTATTCAAAGGTGAGCTACAAATAACTTGTGTTTGTAGCCTGGAATTGGTTACCACCAAAGTTTATTGCAGCCAGGGCTGTGTGATTTGAACTAGCAATATGAGCTTTTTTTTAAAAAAAACTATTAGTGTATATATAATCTTCTGAACAGTACAGCTGCTCAATCATCAGTCGTGATAAGTAACTGTTTGGTTTATAATGTAAACGCATGGCAGTACCAGTTAATTAACTATGTAATAGAAATGCTGTAACAGGATACAATATATATCCTTTGCACTGATATTGCATCAGTAGTGTTTCCCTCTATATAGTTCTGAATGGCCTATAATCAGCAATAATTGTTGTCTTTTATCGATTTCTACTTTGAGAGTGAGTCCCAGACTACGGCACTACCTCACCCCTCACACGGCTGAAACCCTGGTTCACGCCTTTGTCACCTCAAGGCTGGACTATGGGAACTCTCTCCTCGTCGGCCTTCCCGGCCCCTCCCTCCACACTGCAGGTCATTCAGAACTCTGCAGCTCGTGTCCTGTCCCACACCAGACTTCGGGACCACATCACTCCCACCCTCGCTCGCCTCCACTGGCTCCCCATCCCCCAGAGGATCGAATTCAAGATCCTCATCCTTACCTACAAGGCCTTTCACGGCCTCGCTCCCTCCTACCTCTCTGACCTACTATCCCCCTACCTTCCTGCCCGTACCCTCCGTTCCTCTGGCTCCGGTCTGCTCTACATCCCCCGCCCCAACCGCCCTACCATCGGTGGTCGGGCCTTCAGCCTCTCAGCCCCGAGGCTCTGGAACTCTATTCCCCAGTGCCTTCGCCGCCTCCTCCCTTTCCTCCTTCAAGGCCGGTCTCAAGACCTTTCTCTTTGACCGTGCCTTCAGCTCCCCTCTCAACTCTCTACCCCCTCCTCGCCCCCTCCCTTCCCTCCCCTCACCCTGACCATTTCCCCCCTCCTCGCCCCCTCCCTTCCCTCCCCCCTCCTCGTTCCCTCCCTTCCCTCCCCTCACCCTGACCATTTCCCCCCTCCTCGCTCCCTCCCTTCCTCCCCCTCCTCGCTCCCTTCCTTCCCTCCCCTCACCCTGACCATTTCCCCCCTGCTCGGGTCATGACCCAACAGTGCAGCGCCTTGGGACGTCCTCCTGACGTGAAAGGCGCTTTATAAATGGAATCTTGTTGTTGTTGTTTACAATTCCAATAAATGGTCTTTTGATATAGTCCTTTTGTTGACTGTAATTAAAGGAATGTTGATTAGTTGCTTTTTGGTGAAGTTGGTGCAGAATTTATGCCATTTGCTGTTCATGTAAGGAAGCTGAGTGATCTATTTTTGCTGTTTCTGTTTCCGCTTCTAAAAATGTACAAAAATATAATTCTTCTTTAAATCTACTACAAAAGCAGTTGGTTAGACAAAATTTGAATTTAGAAGGGGTTCCCTTTCATTTGAAGTTCAAATAGAATGAAGACCATTTATTCCTATAAGGGTACAAATACTGTTCTGGAGTTGTCCACATACTTGTCTATTGGATATCCCTTCTCCTTAAATGATGGAGTGGCGTAAGGGAGAAGCAGAGTTTTTTTTTAAAAAAATGTGTTTTAAAAGAACTCCTGTTAAAAGATTTCCTTTTTTTATTTCAGTGCGAGGATGTCGCCCTGGAAAAATTGTACAGATGACTGAGGCTGAAGTTCGAGGCCTGTGTATAAAATCACGAGAGATCTTTCTCAGCCAACCTATCCTCTTGGAATTGGAGGCACCATTAAAGATCTGCGGTAAGGCGGTGTTTGTTGTTTCATCCTGCTTCATTCAATAGCTTATACTTAGTTCACCAGTTCTGTATTGCTGAACACTTGCAATTTTGTTTTTGCAGAGTTTGGCTGCAAACTGATTGGTCTCTCTCTCTCTTCCCCAGCTTCTCTCTCTTCCGCGCCCCCCACCCCTCAAATATATACAGAGACTTTGTATATGTGGAAGCTGCTCAATTTATCACAAGAATAATTGTGTGTTGTTGGAGGCAGAGACCTTGAAACTACGGGTTGGTGCAATTATCAATCAAAGATATTTGGCCAACAGAAAAAAAATTGATTGCTCCTTGGAACAAACTGACTATTTAATGAAGTCTTTCTGAAGCAAGATTTGCTTGGCCAGTTTTAATCCAGTTCAAAGTGATTTGAAAAAAACAAAATTATGACTGCTCCGATTTGAAGTTGAAAATGCTGAAAATTCAGAAGTTGGCGTCTGAAAGAAAAAGATTCATATTTCAGGTTGACCTTCAGCAGAGGTTCTTGTAGTGGATGAAGGAGGGCAAATTGATCCCTCAAGAGAAAGAAATTAGGAAGAAGTCTTCTAAATTTAGCAGCTGATGTGACATGAATGGATTTAAAAATGCTGGGAGAGGGGGTTACATAAAATAAAATGATCATAGGTAAAATTCATTGTTTGCGCTTGAAGAGTGTTTCTGGAAAATAAAGGGGTTACGCTGGTAACATAATAATAATTCTTGCATTTGATGTAGTGCTTTAACACGCCTTCTAGACGTCTCAAAGAGCTTCACAGAATATATTATAAAGTAAATTGACTATATTGTGGGCGAAACACGGCAGCCAATTGCACACAACAGTGTCCCACAAACGGTCGTGGATTGCGTGACCAAATTATTTTTATTTATTTTGAAGGAATTTACCCTTGGAAAAGTGATCCACCAATCAACTAACAACCATATTCCTACTTACTGCTAGACAAATCGAAGCGTGTGGAGTAAGGAAACTTGCCCAACATTTCACCCTACCAGGAATCAAACCCAAATTCTCTTGCTTAGATTTGATATCTAAGATGGTCTTAGATATCAAATTTGGCAAGATCCCATGTGGCACAGTAGGGTGTGATTTTAAAAAAAAGTCTGTGCATGTGGGGAGGATAAATTTTAAGATCTGTTGCTAGACCTTGTTCCTACAAATGTTGCTTAGTCCTTTTGTCCGTCCTCTGTATTCCACCCTTCCTAATTTATTTTTTGGAGCTTAGCAAGGCATTTATTAATACATAGTTTGATATTGAAAGCATGGAGTATCTGTTTTATTGCCATGCCTCAAAGAACATTTGCTTGAGGGTAGGCTAATGTCAGTAGAGTACATAACTCAGCGTGAATCCTAATCTAAAGTTGCTCAAGTTCTATTTATAATCTACAGCAGTAACTTTATTGACACTTCTTAAGAGTAGCTATGAAATCGTTTCCTAGGTTGTGCACTGAGGTTAAATAACCAGCTTTCAAGCTTGAAAATCCTCAATGGAATCCCCCCCCCCCCCCCCCCTTCCCTTGGCTCCTTCCTCAGCTCCCCCCACAGCCACCTGGGGCTCCTAGTTGGCTCTATGAAGCACTTTGAGATGCCTTCGAGAGGTGGAAGGAGCTATATAAAATGGTGAATCTGATGGGGATGAGCAGGGGTGCTCATTCTGTATAAGAATAATCCTTGGTTTTGATATAGCACCTTAGCACATCTTCAAGACGTCTCAAAGTGCTTCACCGAATATTCTGTAAAGTGAACTGACTGTATATTTTGTAGGTGAAACGTGACAGCCAATTGTGCACAGCAGCGTCCCATAAACTGTCGTGGGTTGAATGACCACATTATTATTTATTTTAATGAACTTGAATGTTTTTTGCTTGAGTATCTGCTGCTTCCTTCTGTTCCTCACTGTGAGAGCTCACAATAGCTCCTGCTGCCTCTTAGTACAGTATAACATAATAGTTTTATAATCTGGTAATAGTGATTAGGAGAGCAGACCAGTCTGTAATCTAAGCATTTGAACACCTTCACTTCGAGGACTTCTGAAAGTACTTTACAAATTTTTTTATACTGTAGAATAATACTATTGACCGCGTATTTTCTAGATTCTCAAAAAAATCGCAGCCACTCCAGTAACTTTTGCATGGAGGAACTAGAGGGGCTCCATTGCATTTAATAGCAGCATGTGGTATGAAACTGGAGCTCCCAATTCTCTTTTCCTCCCTCCCCCACCTCTATTTTTACTTGAGACTTTCTAATTTTGTTCTTCTGCTCTAGTTTTATGGTCCGAGTCCAAATAACATGACCTCCTGACCCTAGTCCAAATAAAGTGGCCTCCTTTAAATTTACCTGTGTATCTCTCCAAAGAAAACCAGTTGAGCTCTTTGCACGTCTGTTTGTAATTAATGGTGAGTCTGATATCCTTATCGCTGTTAGGTTGTTGAAAATTGATATTGCTAATATACTTTTCTCGGTGGAAATAGGGTCTCAAAGAAAAAAATCTAATTACTTAAATTGTGTGTTTGCCTATTTGATTAAGCTTGTTGATAATAACATGGACTAGATATTTTTCAGTGAATGAATGGTTGGTGGTAGTACACAGATATTGTATACAGCTTTCTTTTTGTTCCACCTTAATTGTAGTAACATCCATCTGCAAATTCTGTTTTAATCACCAAACCACAAAGATAGCACGATCAGCAAATTTAACAATCCTCCGAGGAGCTTGTAAAGTCTAAGCCAGGTGACACTCCAATGCTATACTGACCATTTTCTCCGCACAAAATAAATATCTTACAAATATGTATCTCACCTTATACTTCAAAACAGACTGTTAGAGGCCTTGGGCCGTCCTCACCACCTTAATAATAATAATCCTTGCATTTGATATAGTGCTTTTCACGTCTTCTAGACGTCCCAAAGCGCTTCACAGAATATGCTGTAAAGTGAATTGACTGTATATTTGTGGGCGAAACGCGGCAGCCAATTGCGCACAGCAGTGTCCCACAAACAGTTGTGGATTGAAGTGACCAATTTTTGTTGGGCGTGTGAAGTAAGGCAATTTGCCCAAGGTGTGATAGGGGTATGGAGTTTTGTGTTGGTGAGTAGTTGGGAAGCGGAGTTTTGAATGAATTAAATTCATTGAATACTACTATGGGTTGTCAAAATTATTTTTAGTGGAGGGAAAGCAAAGCCTCTGACCGGGGAGTTCATTACTATTCTACCAGTTCTGTTCAGAGCAAGTATTATTTTGGGCAGTTTTGTTAACTTTGTTCTTTTGTCAAATATGCTTACCAGACCTGTTTACGCAGGAAGTTGAAAATACAGGAATGTGTCAAGTCAACTTTGTTTTAACTCATTTTTCCTGTTCTGAAGTCAGGCAATTTTATCCTATAGGAAGAGGTTGAATGCTGCTACAAACATTTACAGAATTTGTGCAACAAAAGCATTTTCAAAAGGTGACCTTTCCTACCACATTACATTCATGAAGCAACCCATTCCTCCAGCCAAATTAGTCAACCAGATTGCACAGCAAGATTTCACGAAGTAATTTTAATAAATCATTTTCTCATAGACACATGTCCCTAAAGACAGCACTTCAGCCTGACGTCTGCGTAAATAATGCACGAATGCTGGCAGAGTGAATAGGAGCTTCAAATCAGTATGGGAGCTCGAGAATGTATGCGTATTTCTGCCAAGGCTTAGTGGGAACCTTTGCAGAAAAGGTTCATGATTGATTGACTACACGATTATATACTAGGTTTACTTTTTAGTGCGGATGTCCATCACTCATAATTTTAAAATCTAGATTATAATCTGTTATAGACAAAATGGTTTGGGTATTGAGACCCATTGGATCTAACCGTTGTTGGTACATTTGCATTTGTATGTGAGCAATTGATTAAAAGATTATTTTTTAAATTTGAATTTGTAGCCATCCCTGCAAAGCATGGCAGCAAAGCAAACAACAAAGAACTGCTACCATATTAAGACATGACCATCCAGTCAATGAAATTGTACTAATGTGGGTATGCGCATAACCAGGTGGAGAAACGAGAAAGGGGTTAACTGCCAGACTGAAAACAAGCTCATTAGTGATCTGGATGTGTAGTTAAAATTTAATCTGGATTGAGAAATTAAATCCAGTACAACAGTTTCAGATGTGTTAAGAGGATTCAGGGTTGCAAAGGGCAATTTTAGGAGAAACACCAAGGGAGCATTTCTTTACCCAGAGTGTCATTGTCCAGCCTGGTTCAATCAGTAGCACTGTCTCCTCTGAATCAGCAGATTGTGGACTGAAGTCCCCCTTTGAATTAATAACCAAGGTTTGTGCTCCAATGCATACAACAACAACTTGCATTTATTAGCGCCCTTCACACGGAGTAGCATCCCGGAGCGTTTACTGGGGAAGCATTGCATTGTCTTTCAGGTGAGACTTTAAACTGAGATTGTCTGCCTGTTCAGGTGGAGGTTTAAAAATCCCATGACACAATTTGGAAAAAAAGGAGTTTCTCTTTGTGTCCTTGTCAACAATCTTCCTGGTGGGGGGTGGAAAGGTCATTTACCTCTTGGCTGTTTATCAGATATTGCTGTGTGAATATTGGCTGCTGTATTCACCTATGTAAATAGCCACCATAATTTTGCAAAAGATTCTGTGACCAAATGCTGAGTATATAAGATGAGTTTCAAATCAGTTACAAGAACCTTCCTTTGCCTCTACATATTGCTTGTTTACATCCCTGCCTCACCACCAATGTATAGTTTGTGCAGCAGCAACCTCTAGGAATAAATAACTTTCTTTTTCTTTTCTAACCACCTTTGTTCAAGCCTACATATAGTTCAGCTAATTCAGATCGCAATGATCCATGCCCTGCTTTCCATTCCCGTCCTTGTTGAGTTCTGCTGGCTTCGTTTATTGTTTTCAAGTCTCTTCATAGTCTTGTGCAATCTTCTGGGCTTAGCCTACATTACCGTCTCAACTCAGGTTCACTGCTCAAGTCCATTTTTCCCCCAAACAGTTAACAATCACACCTGTGACAAAAATCACTTTGTCTTGCTACGTCTCTGACCAATTGTTTCAACCATACTTTCAGTCACCTCTAAGTTCCTCCCTCTTCTTGCTAATTGTCTACCGCTCCCATTGTTAATCACTTTAAGACTCTTATGTAAATGGCACTTTATAAATGCTGGAGGTTATATAACTGCTTCAAAAGTTTGAAATGAGGTTTGTTAATTCATTAGTGAATGGAAATTGCAGCAAGGTCCACTAAGTTGATACCGTAAGTGCCAATTATGGGAATTTTGTGGACGTGACTGTTGTGCATGACTCAACCTTCAGGAATCTACAGGAGTGAAGGTGACATTAGAGCAAATATTTTCTCGTAATTAAAGGGTGTTAAAGCAAACCACATGGAATAATTTTGCATTGTTTTGAATTTAAAGTGTAGTTTGCGATAGAGATTCAATCCAGAAACAACTTTTAGAAAAAGGAATTTTGAGGGGTTGAGGGGGGAAACCTAAGAGGTTAGACTGATTCAGAATGTCATGAGTATAGAGGACCAATTTAACTCTAAATATCACTGAGAATGCAAATAAGTATCGAGGAAGAAGTGCAGTATAGATACTGAAAACCTGCACGTAGTGAAAGGCAAAAAAAGCTTTTTTGGACTCTCCAATAAAGATTATATGTACGACCAGTGTGGTACTCAGCCAAAAAGGTGCAAGGCTAAATGCCCAGTTAGTGCTGTTATCTGATTTCAGCCAAGAAGGCTGATTAGGGTTTGTACAATTGGCCTAAGCGACTATGGGAGGAGATTTAGAAATCAGCTTTTAGTTCCTGTTTATTTTCTTACCTTTTCTCTCCTCCATTCCTCTGAAGTTCTAAAGTGCAATAGACATTGCTTTCAGCTGATTTGGGGATGGTGGAGAAAATGCACCACGATATTTAATGAGAGAGAGATTGGTATTTAGAAATTGCATTAAAACTTGGACATAACGTTCAGTTCTGAGAATCACCATAAAGGTTATAACAGTAAATTACTAGGAAACTATGTGAAAATTGTATCCAATAGTTTACCTCCTCTATTGTCCTTTTTTCCCCACCGCCAACAATTTGTTCTGTCTTGGATAAATTCTCTTTCACAACATGGCAGGTGGATGATAAGTCCCTTGCAAGCACTTAGTCTGGTTTACTGTTATACAGATGAATTACAAAACACTTCTCCTGAGCCTATTTGATCAAGCAACTAAGTGACGCATTAAAGCCATAATATATAATTCGGTGCTAAAAATATCTTAGCCTGTGGATTCAAGATTGGCCTTTTCCCATATTTGGTTCTTTGAAGAACAAATGAACCGCCAGCTGCTTTTTTAAAAGACCAGTTTAAGAACTTGTGTTTATATTATTTTCCACATGAAAGAAATTTGCAGCGTTGGTGGACTCAAATAGATGAGTACGATACAGTATTTCAAGATGTTGACCAAAGGCATGACTGAAGTCATATATTAGGCAGGGAAAAAATAGGAAGACAAATTATTTGGGAAACTGGTTCCAGAGAATAGCAACAAGGTGAAGGTTCAAGGAGCAAGTAATTTACCCGAGTTGGAAGAATGGTATCTATCGGCTAGAATATAGGTATGGGTAAGTTGGGTTTGGTGAGACAAGACCATAGAGACATTTGAAGGTCAGAGGAAGGATTTTAAATTTGACTCTCTGAGGTTGCTGGAAGACGAAATTTAGCAAGAATGGCATATGGATGTGCAGAAGCTTATAAGCGGGAGCAACTCTTGCTGCAATCTTGAACCAGAGGAATAATTATCTGTTTGATCTGTTTGTGCCCAATATAGTCCATATGTCGGGCGATTGAGACGTCAAAATAATTTAATTTTACTCTGAAAAATGCTGTTTTTAATTTATTGCATGGATTATCCTGTTGCTTCATAAGTTCCATTTTCAAAATGTTCCATTCCAATATACAAGTGACATGAAGCACAAAGAGGAAACAGAATGTGTCGTGAGAAGCAAATCGAGCAATGTAGGAGGCTGATTAGGAGGAATTGAAGTTTGTGTGGAGTATAAACACTGGCATGGACTAGTTGGGCTGAATGACCTTTTCCATACTACAATGTTTTGGATGATTAGATGATATGAAAATCTCTTGTAAGGCAGAATCTGACATGACATGAATGTGACATGGTTTGTACTGTAAAGTGTTTTTTNATTCTGTTCTTTCAGGTGATATTCATGGACAATACACAGACCTTCTGAGGTTGTTTGAGTATGGAGGCTTTCCACCTGAAGCAAACTACCTGTTTTTGGGAGATTATGTAGATCGAGGCAAGCAGTCATTGGAAACTATTTGCCTTCTTCTAGCATATAAGATCAAATACCCAGAAAACTTCTTCCTTTTGAGAGGGAACCATGAGTGTGCAAGCATAAATCGCATCTACGGCTTCTATGATGAGTGTGAGTATCCAGTAATTGTTTTTCCTGTTTAATTTGTTGGGCAATGTTATTCAGTTTGTCATTGGAAATTTGCAACATGATTTTAATGGGAAAGAAGCTATTTTAAAATTTATATCCACGGCTTGGTGCCATCTTTGGCTTTGAAGTCCAAATTCCACCTTAAGATTTTTTTAAGAGGGACAGAATTACTAGATTTCTGCGGGTTTTTTAAATCAAATAATTGAGTTTATTGGTTTTCTTATTTGTGACCCCAACTACCTAATAATTGACATAATCTAGACTTGATTTATTTTAGATTACAAATCACTCACAGGTTTGGTAGTGTTGTGCGGACGGTGTTCAGTAATTTTTATCAACTCGTGTTCAGTTGTTTGTGCAGATATTCAAATCCTTTAGGTGTAACTGTTTTAGTGATGAACACATCACTGGGTGCTATTTTTAAACAGTGATTACAAATATTAAAAAAGGCAAAATGATACATATATGTAGGCTTGTATCTGTGATCCTTCAGGTTGTTGGTTCTTAATCTCAGACAAGTCACATTCGTGTGTGAAAATGTTCAATGGTATCCACGAATTTCTGTGGGTAGAATCAGAAGTTGCAACAGGCAAGGTTGTTAGTCAGTTAATTTTGGAGCAGTATCACCTGGGAGCATGTTACCTCTGTGTGGCATCGTTTGAAAAAAGTTTTCAATTCTCAATCCTCTTGTCGTGTGTTTAGGCAAAAGACGTTTTAATATCAAACTCTGGAAGACATTCACGGACTGTTTCAACTGTCTGCCGATTGCAGCCATTGTGGATGAAAAAATCTTCTGTTGCCATGGAGGTGAGATTCTGTAATGCTGTACCAGAAGTTTTTCTAAATGTGTGAATTTAATTTTTTTAACTTTACTGTGAATACCTAAGATCATTTGAGTCTACTGTTTTGGATGTCTGCTTTAGCTTAAAAAAATGCTTGTGGGGATTAATGAAGGTTCTTAATATTTTCCATTGGGAACTGAACATTCCAGTTGGTTGATTTGTATGGGATAATAGTTGTGACTGGCAAAACAAAATTTTCTTGTTAATGGAAATAAATATTGGAGACAAAGCTGTAAAATGAAATCTATTAGACATTTCCAAGTTATTTGCAGATCAGTTAATTTACATGAAATTAACTCATGATAGATGTATTTTTGCCCAAATTGTAAATTATAAAATTCAAAGTCTGATTGGTGGATGCTGCTGCATAAATTGGAATTGAAGATATTTGGCTCTGGAGGTTGTTTTAAAAAATATTCCAGCCAACTATTAAAATAAGCAATATTATTAAGAATTTTCTGGAGGGTAACTGCATGGCATGTCCAGTCAGAAATGTGGAATTAAATTTACTGAAATAAAGTGGTAGCCCAACTAGAACACAGAGGCCAGTCTTGACTTATTGCTCCACAGCATGCAGTTATTTTGTGATCACCGTGAAAAGGTGCTGCATGTGAAGAACATGAAACCTGCACTGTAGCAGGAATCATAGTTCTGCAGTGGCAAATCAACATTGGTCTGGTTTGCTTTTCTTCCCCTTAGACCTATTGTATTCCCTCCCCTTGCTGGAGGTGAATGACAAAAAATTGAATTTCTATGGTAAGATGAGGCAAAAAGGTTCAATAATAATAATGCTTACATTTGATATAGCACCTTATCACGTCTTTGAGACATCTCAAAGTACTTCACAGAATATATTGTAAAATGAATTGACTAGGTTTTGTGGGCAAAACACAATAACTTTGTAATAGATGGTAATGTGGTTTTAGTAGTAAATAATGGTCGTAGATAATAACACTCGTGATTCTTGGAAAAGATGAATACGGGATTAGGAAATGGACAGAAGGTCAATTGGAATGATTTTAGTTTCAGATGATCAATAACCAAGGTTGGCAAAGTATGGTGAGCAGAGTAAATAACAAATATATATGCCATTTGAGTTTCTTTTCATCCAGCATACACCCCTGTAATTTCTAGAAACGTGTAGTCCTGTAGCTCAGTGGTTAAAGCACTTGCCTTGCAAGTAAGACACCTGGGTTCAATTCCAGGCAGAGGGCGAAACCTTGGGCAAGTTTCCTTACTCCACACAGAGCCTAATAATAATTCCTCCAAAACAAAACAATAATAAATTTGTCATTTTCAGTCCACGACAGTTTGTGGGATACTGCTGTGTGCAATTGGCTGCCGCGTTTCACCCACAAATATACAGTCAATATACAGTCAAGTTATATACACATCCTATACAAAATAAAGGGTATCATACTGAGTTATGAAAGACCTGTCTGATGGCAGGGAATTTATGAACTTTATTAATAGCAGATGTTCTACGGTTTTTCTTAATTGACTTGTGATGAGATGCGTTTTTTTTCAGAAAATTTAAAACTGGGTGACAGGGTTACAATTTTCAAAAAGATTGTTGTGTTAACCGGTGTAGCACTGCAAACCTGTTTGTCAGTCAATTAAATAAAAGTTTGACTTGACTCTATTTCTTTCCCCCTCCCCTTGATTGTGCCACATTTCACAGGGCTCTCGCCAGATTTACAATCAATGGAACAGATCCGCAGAATTATGAGACCGACCGATGTCCCTGACACAGGTAAGGCTCGTCAGAAAAAAAAGCTTTTTAGAAATGTATTTGAGTAACCTTTCCCTCTCCTTACCCCCTTTTCCACCAGTTTTAGAAGATCACAAAAATATTGAAATAGTATTACCTGATTTAAGCAGGAAAATGTCAAGTCCTTTAACACTGCTGACTTTGCGACTCTGTTACATGTTGCCAATTAGTAAATAGAGAATTTTGTTAATTGCAATTTTTAAACTTAAATTACATGATGTTTCTAGAAAATTACTCATCTGGATTAACTCTTCCATTTATAATAGATTTGCACAATTTCATGTACATCCAGTTTGAAAGAACACGGTACAATCATCTTTGCAAATAACATGCCAGCAAAAGTATTTTAGTATGTTGGAAACTTTTGGATTTTGCCATTTAGGGTGATCCAAAGGTTAAACTGTTGTGTGTAGGAATATATCCAAGGAGTGAGATCATCAAGAAACGTGAGCCTCGGGTTTTTCGTACAATCTAATTTGCACTATGGAAACGCGTGCAGCTACACACTAAACACTAATAATTTTAATGTAACATTGTACAGTGGCAGTAGAGTACAAAGGACTGGACACTGTTTCATCTCCTGCAGTTAACAGAATTTTACAGCTCAGTATGCGTCAGTGACTGATGTAGAAAATGGATCCAAGTCTTCACTGAATAATATTTTAAGTTTGAAGTTATCGCATTTAACATCAAAGTAACATCTGATCATTCTGAGCCAAGAGCAATTCAAAAGCACATTAGGCCCTTTGCAGGAGTTCAAAAGAAATTATACCAGATTGTCTCTTAATTTTAATTACCTTTGGCAAATCTGCCAAACCATATGGAGAACTTGGCACCATGCACTCAAGTTTCCCCTTGAAGAAGCATGACCTCTGTGTTTTTACACTTTTAGTTATTGGTGTTTTGACGCACTTCTGATTTTTGTTTTGAAGGGAACTGTATAAGCAGTGCTAGTAAATGCTGTTATGGGTATAAACCTTATGACTTGTCTTATGACGTTCCTTCCTAGGAATTTTTCAGTATTGGGGAGCTGCTAACCAGTATTCCCTTAAATGATGAAAGAGTGAAAATTCTAAGGGCATGTAACTCAATGCTGCTGTTCTGTCTGAGCTACATGGAAGTATTCACTCCAGTCTGGGAGAACTAGCAGCTTGATTACATAATGGTTCCTGATGATTAAATGAACTGCCTCAGTTCACTCAACGAAATTATATTTTTTTCTGAATCACCATTACTTTCACAACTCGATTGTACATTCTGCATTGTGCATTCAAGGAAATGCAACAAGCTAAGGCTTCAGAAATTATGTATGTAAGTCCTACCCCAGAAATTGTGCTTGATCCATCACAAATTAAATGTAATAAAGAAAAGCCCTTATTAGTCATAATAATAAAAATTCTTGCATTTGATATAGCGCTTTTCATGTCGGGAGGACGTCCCAAAGCACTTCACAGCACACACTGTAAAGTGAATTGACCGTATATTTGTGGGCGAACGCGGCAGCCAATCGCGCACAGCAATGTCCCACAAACAGTCGTAGATTGAAAGTGACCAATTTATTATTGGTTTTGGTTTTTTGAAGGATTATTAGGCTCTGTGTGGAGTAAGGAAACTTGCCCAAGGTTTCGCCCTCTGCCTGGAATTGAACTCAGGTCTCTCGCTTGCAAAGCGAGTGCTCTAACCACTGAGCTACGGGACTCCACAAATGACTCCATAAATAGTTCTGTGGAATGCAATAGTTCTACCCCTTTGTTAACTGTATAATAAAGAATTATCTCCTGCACCGAATACCCTTTGGGGAAAGAGACCGGAATATTGTGGGGGGTGGGGTAGAAAAGCTAGAGGGGAGTGTGACTAAACAAATAACTGTTTTAGAGTACTAGCACTCTGGGGCTAAATGACCTCCATCATTGCTGGTAATGTACTACAGTATTCTATTTCCAGAGTAATGAATGTCCTACTTATGAAAATCATTTTCAGAGAAACGTGTTAAAATAACAATGGGCTGAACCTTTTCAGCTGAATCTTTAAATTGTTTTGAAATTGAGTTGAAATAAATTATTGCAACAATCACTACTCCTTTTTGCATCATGACTAAGGCTGTAAGAAAATGGCAGGCTGGGATTTGATTCCGAAAACCACAACTTTTAACACACGCGCAACTTGTTATAGTTGTCCCAATGTTTAATGACTGGTAGGATAATAGTCCTTGCATTTGATATAGTGACTTATCACGTCTTTGATGCGTCTCAAAGTGCTTCACAGAATATACCATAAAGTGAATTGACTATATTTTGTGGGTGAAACACAGCAACGAACAGGATTGAGTGACCATATTTTTTAAAGGAATTATTATCCCCAGAAAAGTGATCCACCAATCAACTAACAACCGAGTTCCTATTTACTGCTAATTAAACAGGCATGTGGAGTAATGAAAGTTGCCCAATGTTCTGCCCTGCCCGGGATTGAACCCAGGTCTCTTGCTTGTGAGGCGAATGGTCGAACCACTGAGCTACAGGACTCCAATGGTCCAGTTGAATGTGTGTGATGTGTTGATGGACTGACGAAAGGTCCAATGGAAGCGCAGGGTGGGTTGGACGGGTGGATGGTTCAATGGGAGTGCATACTGTACTCACTGGAATCGTTAACTTGAACGAACAGCACCAAAACTACAATGTTAATAAACTGGCTGCAATCTTTGAACCAAAAATCATGACTTCCAGCCTTAATCATGACTATATTTCTGAATTTCCATCTAGGGTTGCTTTGTGACTTGCTGTGGTCAGATCCTGACAAGGATGTTCAAGGTTGGGGTGAGAATGACCGTGGAGTTTCTTTTACCTTTGGGGCTGATGTAGTCAGCAAATTTCTGAACCGGCACGATTTGGATCTAATCTGTCGCGCACATCAGGTAAGAAAAAAAACTGTGAAGGAGACTTTATCTTAAATTAACCGTGATTTATTCTGAAATGCCATTGAAAGATTTATTTTCTTGAGTTGAAACTATGTAATGTTGCAACTCAAGAAATTCCATTTTTTTTCTCTGAATTATCTTCCAGAGATTCATAGCCTTGGCTAACTTGCTTGGTTAGCTGTCTGTGTTCCCTACTTTGTGTAGCGATGGGAGCCATCCAACTCCAGAAGAAATGCTTATTGAAACAAATTAAACATGGCCATCGTTTCCTGTACTTAGCTGCATCAAAGAAGGGAATGTACCAGTCTTCCACAAATTATCTAAGTAAAATATTTGCTGATTGCAGAGCAATATTCTGTCTCTGTTAAAGTCAAACTTGGCCTAATTTTGGTTGCTTGTAAAATGTATTATGAATTAAGCAAGGCTAGGTAATGCTAGTTCAATACACTTCTTTGAGTTAGCTTCCTAAAATAGGATAATTATAGGATTTAATAGATGTGAGTGACTCAGGGGTTACACTTCATCTGATTTCCCTCCTCCTTCAAACTAGGCTTCTCAAGATTGTATTGAGAGCTCTAACCTGAAGATCAGACTTGCAGTTTATTTATTTGTCCTAAAATAATGGGTAGAGTAGCATTTGGAATAAATAATAGGTGTAGCATTAAGAATAATGGATTCTTGATGATACTGGCGTCCAAATCCCAAGTTATAGTGGAGGTAACATTTCATTTTCCCTATAAAATATCCAGTTTCTTCTGGGTTGTCTCCAATAGGGTTATGTATTTTGGGGTAAATGTGTATTTGGACACATAAGGTGCCATGCTTAGCCTCAACTCGATATATAGGCAGAGGCTTGGGGTGATGGGCATGAAGAATTTGGGTCAAGTGAGAATACAGACAGTAGGCTTCTGTATTGTACCTTGTGGATGATGAAACTTGAGACTGGCGAGGAGTGCATTTGAGAAATCAAGACAGGAGGTGACAAAATTGTGGGTGAGGGTTTAGGCAGCATTTGGTGTGAGATTAGATGTTACACTGATCTATCGTACACATCAGTGTTACCAGTTGCTTCCTTTTTCTTATTGTTTTTAGATGTATTGATTCAATTTAAAATTGTCCTGCAAAAAGTTTTCACTGTATGATTGGAACACAATGTATTGCACCAGTTCTAGCCAAGCTCCACTGGCTTCCTATCGTTGAACGGATCGAGTTCAAGATCTTCATGTTCATTTTCAAATCCCTTCATGCCCTGGCACCTCTCTACCTCTCCGACCTGCTTACGCCCACAGCCCGCTGCCTCCACCTTCTGCATGTCCATCGTGCCCTCCGTTCCACGGCTGTGCTTTCAGTCACTATCCTCAAAACTCTGCAACACTCTTCCTCTATCCCTCTGCCTTGCCCCTTCCTTCCCCATCTTCTGGTCGTGCCTGAAGACCTTCATATTTGACTGTCCCTACCGTCACCTCCCCCTCTCCCCACCTCGACATGGTGCTCCGCCACTGTCAAGGGCTCTGGGATGCTACCCTCGTGAGGGGCGCAATATAAATGCAAGTTGTTGTGGTAATCTGTTATAGCAATAGCGCTATAGTCGAGGTTTAAATAACTTTGTCACACAACACATAAGTCAAGTTAAAGTCCATAAAGTATTTCAGGAACTGTAACCTGTTTTCTTTAAATGTGTACATAGATTTATCCTGACAGCGGTTAAGTAAATATCCACAATACTGTATTGAGAAAGATCATGGCCATTTTCATTGTATTTTAGATTGGATTTAAAAAAAGCAACAATTTTACATTAAAACTGCTGCATAGTTCAGGTTTGGAGTACGTTGATGCACTACCATGCTGGTTACATTGTTCTGTTATGACCTACTGTAGGGTTTTGATATTGCTTAGAGTGATATGGAGTGATACGTCACTCAGGATAATAGTGGAATTCCAATCTCAGCTAAGAATAAGATTTTTTTTAAAAAATACTTCTTCAAAAGACCCTTTCTTGGAAGAAAACATTTATTTAACCAGTACATTCATAGGCATGTCTAAGTCGCCAACTCAATGGGATGTTTGCTAAGGCAATAGTGTGGAATTCTTGCCTGCCTTTCTGTTTGGAAACGGGACTGGGGAGGAATGGTAAAAATTAGTTGAGGAAGATAGAATATTGTATGGTTTTGTCTCTTATTGTTGTGTTTTACAGGTGGTTGAAGATGGCTACGAATTCTTTGCTAAAAGGCAGCTGGTTACATTGTTCTCTGCTCCCAACTACTGTGGAGAGTTTGATAATGCTGGAGGAATGATGAGTGTTGATGAAACATTAATGTGTTCTTTTCAGGTACGTGTCAACCAAGGATTAACTGAAATAATTATTTCTACTGCTTGATGATGTAATTGTTCCATTTCATTTGAATGTCGATACCCAGGGTCATTAGGAAGAGCAAATGAAAGAAAAGATGTTTTTGATATTGCATCTGCACTTTTTTGCAGCTTGATCATTGTTAGCTTCTTGTGGCAAGTCGATGGATAGCATTTCTATAAATAAAACAGAAGTTTTTCTCATTTTCCTGCTCCTCGTCGCTGCCCAGCCTGCTCTACCATCAGTAGTCGGGCCTTCAGCCTCTCTGCCCCCACCCTTTGGAACTCCATCCAACAGTCCCTTCTCCTTGCTCCCTTCTTTGCCTCGTTCAAGACACCTCTCAAGACCCTTCTCTTCCACTGTGCCTTCAGCCACTCTCCTACTCCTACCCTTCCTGCCCTGCACCATCTCTCCCCCGCGATCGCAACCCACTGCTCGGGTCCAAATCCTTGACCGTCCATCGCCCTGGGACGTCCTCCCGACATGAAAGGCGCTATGTAAATGTAATTTGTTGTTGTTATTGGTTGTAGAGTTGTTTTTGCTTTTCTTTGACGGCTTTGAAGGTATTTCTGGGAAGATTGCTGAATACTTACCCAATGATTTGATTTGGTGTCTGCTTTATTTTTCTGTTTCAGATCCTAAAGCCTTCTGAAAAGAAAGCAAAGTACCAGTATGGCGGGCTGAACTCCGGCCGCCCTGTTACACCACCTCGCATGGCAAACGCACCCAAGAAGAGGTGAATATCCACGACCATGCAGCCACCTTTCATTTATACACAGAGAAAGCTACCAGTATACCAGTTCATATACTAAAGTGTGTAACCTGTAAGAACTGTACAACCATCTGCTACTGTCTTTAAGCCTCAATGCTTGTAAAAAAAATTAAATAAGTCTTTCAAAGTTTTCCAGTAAATACACAGGTGTGGCATATTGTAATGTAAATCAGTGTGATACCGTAACCAGCACATTTTAAAAATATTTGCGACTGGACAGGGATGAAGGTTCGGGTTCAAGTAAGATGAGGATAAAGGCTGTTTGTCAACCATTGGACGTTCTCTGGTGAAATCTTTAAACTTTAAAACAACTGAATTTCACTGCTCCTTGTGACCTGGTTATTTATGCAAGCTGCATACACACAATTGTTTTTACAATCTGAAAGGAGTCTGGTAATGAGAGGCAGTGTATTAGTGCTGTAGTAGCTTTTCAGGAAACTTTATTTGTGATCTCTAAAGCTCCTCCAGTTTCCAATACCATTATAAGTGTTAAGACTGTGATATTATCGTTTGATGTTCATATCAGTCAGACATTTTTCATTAGCTTCTTTAGTTTGTTCCTTTAGGGCTTGCTCGCTATTGTACACATTTATTTCACTTTCACACAGTCCCTAAAATACAGGTGTATAAAGCATGTCTGGCTAGTAAAGATAGCATTTGGGATTAGGTTGTATTAAGGTTATAATGAAAATTAATTATGGTGCACCCAAAATATATATTGCTCTTTTACCCCAAAATTCTTGCATGCACAGGATGGAATTGAATTAAACTTGCATTCAGGCAACCCGTACAGTAAGAGAGCAAGGATTTCAATTTAGCTGTTTACAGTAGTCTGTTTTGAATAGATTTGGTCAGGTTTAAAATTAACATTGGAAATCTTCATTCAAAGTTAATGCCAGTTGGGGTGAACTTTCAATGCTTGCAATGGATTTTAATTGCACATTACTGTGCATGGTGCATTCCTAGCTGGTTGTAGTGTATAGAGAGGATGGAATAGTATTACCACTGAGTCAAGATTGCAGAAAATTAGGTTGGGTGGATTCCTATAGCATCAGAGGTTATACATAGCCTTTGACATCATCCCAATCAAATGTATGTTTGAAGAGATTGCTGCAATTTGTATTGGAGCTTCTATAGTATCTTTTTTCCCCTGTGTTTATGAACAACAGGATTTCATATCTGCAGTATTCCACTTTTGAAGCAACTTTTACATGCAACTTCAGAGCAGCAAACATGATAAATTAATAAAAGCTTTTGAAAGAGTCAAAGCCAGAGGAAGCTTCCATATGCTAAAAGATTGTTCCAGCTGAAGATAAACACTTAAAAGATAGATTTATTATGGTTTTCTTTAGGGTTGCATGCATTTGTGGCATCAGTATTTTTTTGATCATTTTAGGGCCTCAGCACTAGGTCAATAACTGAAGTGTGTGTGGCCTATAATCTTGCAGATGTTTGAATCAATAGATATTAACCAAGGACTTCAAAAGGTTAGATTACCTTTTTGAAGCCCTTCATCCCAGTCCCGATGATCTGCACCATTTTTTGAATGAAGGTGAAGGGTATTTCTGCTTGTTGTAGTTTGAGAGATCTGTGAATTTGGATTGCTCTATACAGTCTTAAGGGTTTCCTTTAAACATAATGTTAATGATCTATCAAAAAACCCTTATTTTCATGATTTTGCTTCTCAATATTCTTAAGATTGGATCTGTGATATTAAAAAGGCAATATTTGAAGTACGCAGTCTTTCAGGTTTTCCCCCTTATTTATGTTGATTAGTTAATAATGAAATCTAAAATAATTTATTCTGTTCAAGTTTTGTTAACGATGCCCCTATCTACTATTTTCAATAGTCTTATATCTGGTATCATATTGATGTTGACTTCTTTTTTTTCCTCATATTACCTATTCATACTTTATCCTTGCAGAGTATTTGGGGGTGCATAAGAAGTCCCATCTTATTTATTTTTTAAGAAAACTCAGAATTTCACAATAACTTCTTTACATAATCCTGGATCAACAATTTTAATGGGTAGTGAAAGAGAGGCACAGAATACAGCTTCCCATGTCTTTAACAGTGCAATTTTGTGTGGTGGTGTCCCACGTTGCACCGCTCCTGGTAAATGACAATGTTAGGATGAGCTGCAGAGTGACGCTTCTGTGGTTAATCCTCACGCTTTGGCATTCCTTCCCACTGTTAAGTTTTGACACTACCAACCTCCTCTAGTACGATACATTTTTACATCCCTGTACCTCTGCCAGCTTCATAGGGGAAATGGTGTCATCTGGGAAAATGGCAATTTTTTTCCCAATTGCACGATGGAAAAAGGGAAGCATTTTTGTGAGTGGGCATTATATACATTTGTAAATAACTATTTACTGTCTTAGCCTGCATGTTCTCTAACCTATTTGTATTCATGAAATGTTCAATCCATGGTTAAATTGTTCACAAGTTTACTTGCCAAATAAAATTCTCTGCATACCTTTCTCTACAATGGCGATTTAAGTTGGGGTGATCGAACATGCAAGCAAAAGGAGGAAGACCTGTGCTTCTGAGTAAAATTAGTAAATAGATATTCCACATAAGAGCCTGTACCAGATTTTTATAGCTGCCAAGTTCTGTTTGAGATTCGCTCATTTATGAAGATATTGGAAATAAATGATCACCTGGGCAAACCTATTAAAAGCAATAGCTGCATATGTTGTTGAGCTGCAGCCGGTTCCTATGTCTAGAAAGAGAAGCTTGTTATTGGAAGAGATTTAGTAGATGAGAAGTGGCAAATAAAATAATGTGCTGCATTAAATGTTTATATACAGCATTCAGTGTGCAACACAGCTGATGGGAGTCTTGTCTGTGTGTTTCTTTAGCAACTGTAGCGTATCAATGTTCTGTTTTTAAATTTAACTCAGTTATCCTTTAAAAGGGCCTTTCTGTTTGCCTTCACTGATGTCAAAAACTCTTCTAATTAATGGTTACACATCTTTCCCTTCAGAGTTTAGCTTTATCAAACAATTGTTGCACAGCTTTTAAAAAAAACTTTGTTCACAGCCAAAAAAGCAGAATACAAATTTTCATGATCCATTTCATGGTTGTTGTCATCTTTGAATAAATTTGTAAAAACTCAGTGTGCACTTTGTCAGTCTCTTTCTTCTGTTGTCTGGTACATCTTTAACTTGGAGCACTAATTAACTGAATGAGAATGGAGGCAGAAGACATTATTTACTGTCTTAACTGATGAGTTTGAAAGCTGCTTAGTTTGAAATGTACTGGTAGCTTTAAATTATCAATGCTTTTTATTTGGGTTTCAGAAATATTTTTAAATACTAAAATACCTGCATAAGTAACAGTGTAGTAGTAAATAGAACTCTTCTACTGAATTCCCTGTTGATTTGAACACAGAACATTTCCTAGAAAGTTTGTACTAATTGATTTATTTGTATGTACATAAAAGCAAAGCAACTATTTTCAAAAAGGATGGAAATAAATTCAAAATGCATGTGGTTAAAGACATAAGGTGAGTTTTAAAAAGGGGGAGGAAGGGAGGAGTTAAAGGAAGTGGGATGGAGTTCTAGAAAGTAGGGGGGAAATTTGGCTAAAAGTTATCTACCGATGGGGCAGATTGGACGTGGGACTGTGTTGACTGAGGGGAGTGTTGGAGTGGGTAGGGTTGCAAGAATTTGCAGAGGTAGAGTGTGGATTTGAAGGTGAGGTTAAGGATCTTTGATCCACTAGGAGATGGGAGGCCAGTTACTTGAAGTAAAGTTTTCCTTCTCTTTACTGCTGTTTCATCCTAGTCAGCTTTAGACTATCTTGTTGGTAGACGTAGCATTTAAAATAGTATTTTACAAAACCATGCAAATTCTTGGGAATTTTGTAATATTGAGCATCATTTCCTTATTGAATTCATAAAAAGTTTTCTCATTTTAAAATAATAATCATTGGATTTGATATAGCACCTTATCGCTTCACAGAATATACTGTACAGTGAATTGACTATATTTTGTGGGTGAAAATCAATAAAATACTGTACTTTCCATCTGGAAAATAAGTTATTTCTGTGTGAAGAGAACTTGTGTTAATGCCATTTCTGTATCAGTGTCTATATGCTAAACTTGTCATCAACAAAAGCTGCAAACTGCAAAAATCTGCCACCATAATTTGTACACATGCCTCCAAATTATTCCTCATCGGGTATATTTTAAGGTTGGCTGCTCTGGTCAATTTCTGCTTGCTACTCAGACATACAGATAAAGGAGCTGAAGAGCACTATAATAATAAATAATAATAATCCATGCATTTGATATAGCGCTTTTCACGTCTTCGAGACGTCCCAAAGCGCTTCACAGAATATACTGTAAAGTGAATTGACTGTGTATTTGTGGGCGAACGCGGCAGCCAATTGCGCACTGCAGCGATGTCCCGCAGACAGTCGTGGGTTGAAAATGACCCAATTTTTCTTATTGTTTTTTTTTGGAGGGATTACTATTAGGTAGAAACGTAACCGATCAGACGAGTCGGTTTGTCGCGCCAGGCAAGCCGGCAATGTGCCGAGTTCGATGCCCTTAATCGGTGGTGTTCACTGACTTCAACAGCACGTTAAGACTGTGCGGCGACGATGTAGAGCTTCGCTCGCATTAATGTGGTGCGAAATACTGCATTTCTAATGCAATAATGTTTTTTTTTTGGCGGGTGGTGGGGGGGGCACAGACCAGTGGCAGCCCTGCCGGACAGGACACGGGGCTCGACTCCCTCCCGCCCTTGGCCTGAAGCACGGTGGGTGGGTGGGTGACGCGGCGGAGGTGGAGGCGGAGTGCAACTTTTTACCAGTTTCCTCGTTTTCAGTGGGTGCGAAACGACCGAGGAGTTCAAAGTATTCCCGAACAGACACCGGCAGAGCGAGAAATACGCGGCGTCGAACCCATCGGATCCGGTTGGGTCGAAGCACGAAACAAGGCGAGGGGGTGGGGAGGGAGGGAGGGAGGAGGGGAGGGGAGGGGGGAAATCCCATAGGAATAACCAGCCAACGAGTAAGTGTCCGGTGAGCGAAACGTGGCAGTCGGTTTGCGCACAGCGATGTCCCACAAACAGCCGTGAAGTTAAAATGGCTTCATATTTTTTTTTAATTGGGGGGTGGACTGAGGGGGGGGAGGAGGGGTAATAAATAATATATATCTTTTTTAAAAAAAATTAGTAATACAACAAATATAAAAATAATAATAATAATAATAATTGGGTCACTCAGAGAGAGAGTCGCTACCACAACCGCGCCGGACTGACGGACAACACCTGGAGATGGCGGCGGCGACGGCTGGTGGTGGGGGGGGGGAAGGGGGGAGGGGGGGGCGATGGCGCGAGTAACAGTGACGGGTAACGAGCCTCGCGCCGACCGTTGGTTTGCGCGGTTTGAATTCGAGGGAAAATGTCGCTCCGCCCCCTCTCCCCCTCCACACACCGCCTCGCGCGAGAGCTGCCCCGCCCCCCCCCCCCCCCCGCGTGCTGCCCCGCCCCCCCCCCCGCGTGCTGCCCCGCCCCCCCCCCCCGCGTGCTGCCCCGCCCCCCCCCCGCGTGCTGCCCCGCCCCCCCCCCCGCGTGCTGCCCCGCCCCGCCCCCCCTCGCGTGCTGCTGCACTGCCCCCCCCCCCCCCCGGCGCGAGGCTCGGAGCTCGCGGGTCTATCCATCCCTCTGTCTGTGTGGTCTGCATTGGCGTCCGCAGGTTTCCCCCCATCACCGCGGCCTCAGGGGCCGCTCATTCGCTCGCCACGTGTCACATAACGGCTGCACTTTGGTGAGTTTGACGTCCCCGTCCGTCCCCCTCACACACCCCCATCCCACCCTCACACACACCCTCACACACACACCCCCATCCCCCACACACCCCCATCCCCCTCACACACCCCCATCCCACCACACCCCCCTCACACCCCCCCCTCACACCCCCACACACACCCTCACACACACACACCCAGCCCCCACACACCCCCATCCCCTCACACACCCCCATCCCACCTCACCCCCCTCACCCCCACATCCTCACACCCTCACACACACACCCCCATCCCACCTCACCCCCTCACACCCCACACACACACCCATCCCCCTCACACACCCCCATCCCACCACACCCCCTCACCCCCACATCCTCACACCCTCACACACACACCCCCATCCCACCTCACCCCCTCACACCCCACACACACACCCATCCCCCTCACACACCCCCATCCCACCTCACCCCCCTCACACCCACCCCCCACACCCTCACACCCCCTCACACACCCCCTCACACACCTCACACCCAACCCCACACACACCCATCCCCCTCACACACCCCCATCCCACCTCACCCCCCTCACACCCACCCCCCTCACCCTCACACCCCCTCACACACACCCCCTCACCCCCTCACACCCAACCCCACACACACCCATCCCCCTCACACCCCCCCACACACACACCCATCGCCCTCATCCTCACACACACACCCTCACCCCCACACCCCTTCACACACACCCCCCCACACACACACACCCCCCTCCCCTCCCCTCCGGCCTACTATAAGCTCACGCTGCAAAGGGAAACGTGGTAGTCAAAGACCTCGACGCTGTGACAGGTAGGTCCCCTGACAGACCTCCCCCCCCCCCCCAACCCTCACCTCAACCTCCTCTACAAACAGCCCTCACCTCCCTCTCCCCGGGGGCTTCACCCCTCACTCCCCCCCCCCTTTCCCCCGAGGTCGCTCCGTCCAAAAAATCAAACATGGCCCCCGTGTTTCTGGCGTTGGGGGGGGGGCGGGGCGGGTTACTGTTTATTCAGCACGAATTGGATCCGAGTGGGTAGGGTTTCAGGAGAAGTGCGACCCCCCCCCTCACCCCCTCACCCCCACTCCATCCCGGGGAGAAGGCAGACACCGACACGTGGTCGTCGCCACCGTCGTCGAGGAAAGCTACAAAACTACCTGGTTTACGGGGGGGGGGGGGGGGGAGTTATTTGCAAACTTCTCAGTAAGAATCCCATCGCTTGAGCTAGGAGTGGGGGGGGGGGGCAGAGAGAGTTGGGTGGTGGTGGGGGGGAGAGAGGGCAGAGAGAGTTGGGTGGTGGTGGTGGGGGGGGGGGAGAGAGGGTTGGGTGGTGGGGGGGCAGAGAGAGTTGGGTAGTGGTGGGGGGAGAGAGGGCAGAGAGAGTTGGGTGGTGGTGGGGGGGGGGGGGAGAGAGGGTTGGGTGGTGGGGGGGCAGAGAGAGTTGGGTAGTGGTGGGGGGAGAGAGGGCAGAGAGAGTTGGGTGGTGGGGGGGGAGAGGGCAGAGAGGGTTGGGTGGTGGGGGGGAGAGGGCAGAGAGAGTTGGGTGGTGGTGTGGGGGGAGAGAGGGCAGAGAGAGTTGGGTGGTGGTGGGGGGGGAGGTGGCAGAGAGAGTTGGGTGGTGGGGGAGGGGGGGGAGAGGGCAGAGAGAGTTGGGTGGTGGGGGAGGGGGCAGAGAGAGTTGGGTGGTGGTGTGGGGGAGAGAGGGCAGAGAGAGTTGGGTGGTGGGGGAGGGGGGGGAGAGGGCAGAGAGAGTTGGGTGGTGGGGGGGAGAGGGCAGAGAGAGTTGGGTGGTGGTGGTGGGGGGGGGAACGGCAGAGAGAGTTGGGTGGTGGGGGAGGGGGCAGAGAGAGTTGGGTGGTGGGGGGGGAGAGGGCAGAGAGAGTTGGGTGGTGGTGGTGGGGGGGGGAACGGCAGAGAGAGTTGGGTGGTGGGGGAGGGGGCAGAGAGAGTTGGGTGGTGGGGGGGGAGAGGGCAGAGAGAGTTGGGTGGTGGGGGAGGGGCAGAGAGAGTTGGGTGGTGGTGGGGGGGGAGAGAGGGCAGAGAGAGTTGGGTGGTGGGGGAGGGGGGGAGAGGGCAGAGAGAGTTGGGTGGTGGGGGGGAGAGGGCAGAGAGAGTTGGGTGGTGGTGGTGGGGGGGGAGAGAGGGCAGAGAGAGTTGGGTGGTGGGGGGGGGGGGGAACGGCAGAGAGAGTTGGGTGGTTGGGGGGGTGGGGTGCAAAGCTTCTGGTCATTTGAACACATACTCTTTTCTCTCTTCCCTCCCCAGCCGGGGAATCGGAGCTTCCTGCCACTCACCTCCTCCTGGCCTGAATTACACCGGATTTGCACATGAAACATGGGCGGTATCAGATGTGCATCGTTTTTCCATCAATACAATGTTAATTCCACGTAAATCAAATTTTTTTTTTGCGCCTGTGAACGTCTTAACACATCATCTCCCCTTGCATTCGTTCAACATTTGGTTCAAGCCCCTGTGCCAACTCAAAAATTCCCTCTATCCCGACTGTTGGTCAACCTCAGCAGGACTTCCTCTGGTCCGAGGGATGGAAGGAAGGATAGCCTTACAGTGCTCTGTGTAACTACACTAAATTAGGAAAGGTCATTTGGCCCATTAGCCAGCAACTTCCACAGACAATGCAGAATCTGTGCCATCATGTACTTTAACTCATCTAACATGCTAAGGCAAATGCAAGGATTATTATTATCTTCTGTGGGAATGTTTTACATAGATATTCCAGAGACATCCTCAAAGGTATTCAACCAGAAACGTTAGAATATTCATCATCCCTGCATCTCCAGCATTCAAACAAGGGCTTTATGGAATTTTGGTATTATTAACCACAAATACACACATGCTCATGCGATGTCTTATAATAATAATAATGTCTTTATTATTTGGGGAGCTGACATGAGAAATTGAACTGCCACACACTTGTCCTACAATTTAATGTGTTCAATCACTGAGTTTAAGACTCTTGCGGTAGATCCATCATACTGAAGATCTGCTATCTTGTCTTGCTGTAGATGCTGTCCTTTAGATGAGACAATTAAACCGAGTCTGTTCAGATGGATATAACAATTTTCTGAATTTCATTATTTCTCAAGGTGTTTCAGTTAAAAAAATATGCTGGCTCCAGTGACACAGTGCCCTCATTTAGGTGAAAGTGACTGCATCTAAAGAAAAAAAAGAGACGGAGACTATATCTACAAAGAACCTCCTAAAGGCCTCCCGTGATCATTCCCCTACTAGATATGGTAAACGTACTTCAGAAACAAATGCATGAGGACAGCCCAATATTTGAGCTAGTGAGTTTGCAATACTCTTTGAAGCTTTAGATACTACTTAATATTGCAGATCAGAAGATATTTACGTAGCTTATATTCGAATTACCCTTGACAAGGAATGATCCTACCAAAGACACCTGTACAGCTTACAGTTCCCAGAGATTAAAAAAGACATTTCACATATTGATGAGACCAATATTTATGGATTTTGAAACTTGTGGGTTTAAGGTCGATATATGGCTATTTTAGGTCTTGTTTAAGATCTGCTCCAACAAATTGGAGTCAGCAACTATTTCTTAGTTTTGTGACATCGACATAGGGTAACCAGTGAGGGATGCAATCACTGTGGATGAGAATGTGAAGACATCAGATATACTTTACCATAGATTGAATGGTTCCTTCATTGCTGACCTGGGAATAGAGTATTTTTGGAGTGCTGTAGGCCAAGCTTGAATAGTGATCAGTACTGAAGTAGGAATAGTCTATATAGTAAAATAAACATCCAGTCTACCCAATGATTTTCTTCAATATTGCTTCATCTAGTAGCTAAGACTAATAGAATTCACCCAACCTAAACTCCTGAGATGATGAACCCCTGGAAACTGAACTGTCAATATACAGATAATAGGTTATTTACACCAACATTTTCATCTACCATGTTATTTGACAATCTCTGAGCAGTGTCAAATAGAGAAAAATTTAGAGGCATTTATCGCTTATGATAAAACCTGTAGCTCAGTGGATAGAGCGCTCGCCTCACAAGCGAGAGACCTGGGTTCGATTGCCAGCAGGGTGAAACCTTGGGCAAGTTTCCTTACTCTACATGCCTGGTAATAATCCCTCAAGACAAAAAAATAATAATTTGGTCACTCAAAACATGACTGCTTGTGGGACATTGCTGTGCGCATTTAGCTGCTGCATTTCGCCCACAAATATACAGTCAGTTTGCTTTTACAGTATATTATGTGAAGCGCTTTGATACGTCTAGAAGACATGAAAAGCACTATATCAAATGCAAGGATTATTATTATTATGATACTGTTTTGTTGCTTTTTTTTAAAAAGAACATTATGAGGAACAACCAACTCTGCTGTCAGACTCCTCCTTCAATTACTGTCCATATGAAACCAGGAGGATCAAGATTAAACCAACAAAAAAAAGTGACAAAATTGAAGCAGCAGCCGTGTATACAGAAAATGCGTGGAAAGAATACTAATGTGATTTCAAAGCCCAAGCATGCAAGGGGACCCTGTCTCATCATTCAACGCCAAGAAATGGCTGCTTTCTTCAAGTTGTTCGGTAAGTGGTATAGTAAAATGGAAAAAACAACTGGGTGGGGTAGGCAATAATATCGAAAATATTCAGGTAATACTATTTGTGGAGTCCTGTAGCTCACTGGTTAGAGCACTCGCTTTGCAAGTGAGAGACCTGAGTTCAATTCCAGACAGGGCGAAACCTTACTCCACACGTTTAATAATAATCCCTCCAAAACCAAAAACAATAATAAATTGGTCATTTTCAATCTACGACTGTTTGTGGGACATTGCTGTGCGCAATTGGCTGCCGCGTTCGCCCACAAATATACAGTCAATTCACTTTACAGTGTGTTCTGTGAAGCGCTTTGGGACGTCCTCCCGACGTGAAAAGCACTATATCAAATGCAAGGATTATTATTATTATTATTATTTCTCATCTTGGAAAGGTGAAAAAGGTTAAAGATAATCATAATGTTGTTGAAGTACTTGTCATTGAACCTTTGTATCGCGGTCAAAAGGGCAATAATCACTGTTCCCATGGAAATATGAAAATCAATGCAGCGAAAGATCAATTTCCAAAAAGGTCCCAGTCTTTTTAAAGGAACATTGTTTGTAAGAAAATTACAACAATGTGACAAATAATCCGTGTTGATTTTTAAAATATATAGAAATAAATGAGCCATGAGCCCCACTTAGTCAGGGATGAGATTTTTGTGATGTTGGGGAATTAAGGCTATGTTCCTCCCTAACTGAATATGACACAAACAGTTCGATTGACAGGCAGGTTCAATGTCATATAAATATTATGTGAAGGGAATTACTGTCCATATGAAACCAGGAGGATCAAGGTTCAGGAATTGACTCCCTAATTTGTTCAAAAAATAAACAACAACAAATTGCATTTATAGAACACCTTTCACGCCAACTGGACAGTAAATGTATTGCACCTGCGTTGGGGGTTTGAATCAAGGGGTGGAGGGCAAGGGGTGGGAAGATGACCGAAGTCGCAGTGGAAGAGCAAGGTCTTGATATGGGCTTCAATATATTTAGAAAAGATTTTAAAATATTTGGAACGTAACGGTTGAGGGTTTGTTTTAGACTTTTTTAAAAATTGATGACAAAGATTTATGATTTGCAATGTACTGCTTCACAGATGATGACTTAATACAAGATTTCCTGTGGATGGATTGCTGCTGCAAGGTCTCTGACAAGGTACATCTTTGCATTTTTCTCAACCTTGAAGTAAGAATACAGTAACAACATCTTGTTTAGTGCCCTTCACACCATTTTGAAGCTTCCATTTAATTTTGGGGTTTCTAATGTAGTTCTCTTTATATTTTTCCTAGTATCTGTTGGCCATGACCTTTGTTTATTTCAAGAGAGCTGGATTTCAAATAAGTGATCAAACCAGAATGAACTTCTTTGTTGCTTTGTAAGTATAACTGCTGTAGTAGGTATTTTGTGTTTCTAATCCATTCGCTTATAACCTTAAATATAAGTACATATTTATAAATAAGTAATCAAATATAAATAATAAACAATAAGATCAGTAAAAATAAATAAACTATTATTTAGCTTTCACTTCCATTCAGATCCTTTGATATATGATCTCTAATTATATTTTCTCCACAACCTTTCCCAAAGAACAAAGTAGAATTGGGTTTCAGCTGGTGTCATATAATAGCCCTCTCCCTTCATCAAGACTTAAGATCACATCGATCTTGTTGGAGGTACTATCCTTCATGTGATACGTTAAACTGAGGTCTCTTCTACCTGTTCTCCAGGTAGATGTTAAAGATGCTATAAACAATTTTATAAGCTAATTATAACTAGTCTATAAATAAACTAGAAATGAAACTGTTCAAAAAGAGGGAATTGCTCCCAGTGTCCTGACCAACAATTCTCCAGATAAATTGGATATTCACCTCATGGTTGTTTGTCGGACCTACAAATTAAATGCGTTTCTTACAAACATCGTCAATCTTTGATGTTATAAGACACGATAAAAAATAAAAGTTTTTACTTTCTACAATAAATAAAATCATTTCTTGTATGAAGCCATTACGGCACTTGCACAAAACAGGATTCTTTTGGATTTGAATAAAGTTACTAGATCATAAATTTGCCTCTTAAATAGGAAGTCCGTAGTTTAATCATCCTTGAAGATTAAAATGTTACAGCTACACAAAAGAACAAAAGTTGATCTGTTTTTTCTGTACCAGATTGTAGTTCATTTGCATTCTCTTATTTCCACAATGAACTTTTGTCCCATCTCATGCCACATTATGCTGTCACACCCTGCATGGCCTGTGCTTATTTCTTTTAATAAATCACATTTTAATTTTTTAAATTATACATTCCACGTTTTATGGCTTATAGTTTTGAGTGAAACCCATTTTGGAAAAATTGAGCATTTTACCTATTTTCTCCATTAAAATTAATATTTCCAATGCTTTTTTAATATTTCCCCAATCAAGCATCTGATATTGTTTTCCCAATGCCAATTTTACCATTGTTCTCTGAAGGCAGATCACTGATTTGTCATACTGTTTCTGTACGACGGCTCCCAGCTATGTTTAGATGATTTGATTCCAGTCATCCATCTTTAGAATTCTCTCTGGTTTTGTGACCCCACAAAGAATTGTTTTGTGACCCCTGTACAGAACTGAGGCATGCCACCTTGTGGCTCAGCTGACTAGTGTTGCAACTCAACATAAATGTTTTAAAATAGATTTGAGTAACTACACTAATAACTGGAACTTTATTATGAATTATTCTTAACATGCAGAATCATTCTACTGTTGAGCATCCATCTCCCTTTGCTTTGAAACCATTTTAAATTGCTTAATAATCTTGCATTGGTTATGTTTGGAAAGATTGGGCGCCCAAAGGCCTTTCTGTTTTGAACAGATAAAACTGAGGTGGGGAAATTGATTGAGATATTTAGGAAGAGAAAAGATTGCACCAGTGGGGGAGCTACATCAGAAGAGATATGATAGGCTGAATGGCTTCCTCTGTGCTGTAACTTTTATATGATTTGATGTATTAAAGCTAACATATCTGCTTTTATGTTTGACCACAAAATGGGCAGACAGTATTACATTTCAAAATTAAATGAACATTTCTCTATGGTTAATGAATTGTAGCGGAATCTACCTTATAATTTTTATATGTATATAAAAAAGTTCTTTGAGACGTCTCGAAGATGTGATAAGGCACTATATCAAATGTAAGGATTATTATTACTATTATGCCATGTTAAAAAGCTAATTGATGGGATGCTGGATTCATGTGGGAATTTAATAATGACTCATTATTTATATATTGGAGTCTAAAATACAGATTGGGCTAATGGACAATAGACTATACCATTCTCGTATAAGTGTCCTTAATTATGTAAATAACCATCAGTGAAATTTTTTTACAAATGTTTCTGGATCATGTTCTCAGGCCACATTTTAGAATCCATTTGGTTAAAAACTGTATTGTCACTTGTATTTCTTTGTTTATATTGTTAATATAGTTAAGTATCCCACCAAAGCCATGGCTCATTCTCACACTTTGTAGGATAATTAGCTGTAGTGTGTTGAGAAGTCTGCAGCAATGGAGCTATCTAACTGGGAATGGGATGCAGCAGTGAAATAATTTCTAATGTGACATTCTAGGAAATGTGATCCCTGTTTCTCAGATATTTAGCGAATACCATGGAAGAAGATGAAGAGGAATACAAGTATGAAATCTTTCCATGGGCTCTTGGAAAGCAGTGGAAGAAAGTGTATCCAGATTTCTTAAAGCAAAGAGATCAGCTTTGGGCAAGAATCAACTACCGAGCAGCTGTTAGCAAGCGCTGCTGTGAGGAGGTAAGAATGGCCGCAGCACAGTAATAGATGAGCCCTGCGTCATTTTCTGTGCCTGCCTCATATAAACTCACGCTCTGAAATGCATCTATGACAGATCCCCTTCTCTAATTCTAATTCTAAGTCATTTGGGAAAAGTGACCTGTCCAGTTCTTTTCTGACTACAACCGTTTGTGGGATTTGTAGGACGATCCAAGAATTTGTAGTTTGATATAAAGATGCCAAATTCTGAGAAAATGTAACATACAACAGTTTTAAAAACAAAAACAGAAGTCGCTGGGAACACTCAGCAAGTCAGGCAGCATTGATGGAGAAAGGAAATGAGTCAATGTTTCGGGTTGATCAGAGAGGAGTGTGATGCCCCCCATCACAAGTCAGCTTGGCTCGGTGGTAGCACTCTTGCCTCTTGAGTCAAAAGGTTGTGGTTCAAGCCCCAAGTCGAGACTTGAACTTATTGTCTAAGCTGACACTCCAAAGCAGTGCTGGGGACGTTTTGCGTTGTTGGAGGTGCTGAGGTCATGTCTGCCTGTCAGATTGACATTAAGAATCCCATGGCACTATTAGATAAGAGAAGGGAGTTTTTTTCTGATTTCCTGGCCAACAAACCCCCAAATAAAAAACATTGGTCATTCACTTCATGGCTGTATGGGACATTGCTGTATGCAAATTGGCTGCCGTGTTCGCCCACCAATATAAAGTCACTACAGTAAATCCTGTGAAGCTCTCGACGTGAAAGACGCTGTACCAAATGCAAGGATTTTTTTCAATTTTTGTCTCACTCTCAGCAGCAACTGGCATGTCACAACCAAATTTCATAGGAATTGACAAATCAATTGTTATCAGTTTGGTCCTGTACTAGTTAAACTGAAGCTGTAAAGGACCAGAGGGAAGGTTTGTTGCAACAGATAATTTGCAATAATATTAACATGTTTGGTATCCTTGGTAAGAGAGGTTACAGTGTTAGTTTCTAATTTAAAAAAATCACAAGTGGCTTGTACTTGTGCTTAGAAGAACAGTTGCTTCGATGATGAATTTCAAATGTAAACCATTTGTCTATTTGTGGTGAAATTGTATGCAAGTTAAGTTGTGTCCCCATTCACATCAGTACCTGCTGTACATGAAATATCCTTTTGGTAGGTTATGGCAATTGCTCCAACTCATTACATCTGGCAACGAGGAAGACCGGTGCATCACAGTGGAGCCATCAGAAGGTATGCAAGAAATGACGTGAAATTACCCCGGGGCCCATGTGACACACCGTTTCATTGTTCACTCTGTGGACAGAAAGAAGAATTCCTTGGCATGTACCCCTCATCTTCCTCTTCCTGTGAAAGCCAAAAGGATTTATGTAGGAATGACCTTGATGAGCACTTAGATGGCATGGAGCCTGATACTTGCTATTCATCAGCTGGTAAGAATCCTCTCTTTTTGCCCTCTTCGAGTTTGAAGCATCATCACGTTGTGAGAATAGAACATTATTAGTTCATATTTATATCAAATTAACTATTTCTATAAGAGTGGCATTCTCAAGTTTAGAACTGTGGAGTCCTGTAGTTCAGTGGATACAGCGAGAGACCTGGGTTTGATTCCCGGCAGGTTGAAATGTTTTCTTACTCCACGTGCCTCTGTTTACTTAGCAGTAAGTAGGAACCCTTTTGTCATTTGATTGGCGGATCGCTTTTCTGGGGGTAATACCTTCAAAAAAATAATAAATTGGTCACTTCAATCCACGACTGTTTGTGAGACACTGCTGTGCCCAATTGGCTGCCTCGTTTCGCCTATAAAATATACAGTGACTACACTTAACAGTATATTCTGTGAAGTGCTTTGAGATTTCTCAAAGACGTAATAAGGTGCTACATCAAATGCAAGGATTATTCTGTAGGTTGGAAAATACCCATATGGCACGATGTTCTTGGTGCGCATTACCAGGAAGGTAACACTTCTCCACAGAGACGAAGGGGAATTGTTAAAAAAGGAATCAGAGTTGGAGTGAGAGAAGCAGCTGAATAGTATAGTTGCTTAGAACACTGCTTTCTCACCTCTGCGACCTGGTTCAAATCCAGGCCAGGATGAAAGATTCTTATATGACTAGTGTAGGAATCCCGAGGTGAGCATGGACAGCTTTTGCTTGGCTCTCCATGGATAAGGCCATTTGGCAGTTTCACTCAGTGAGCCCTTGGGAATGGGTGGCAAGTTCCCACTGGTTAGAATGCTCTTCTGAGGTTGAGGTTTCTGTAAAATGAGAAAGTGATTTATACCACACCTGACTATTATGCACAACTAAGTGTGTTTGATGCCACCAAGTGCCTCAAATAGGAAATGTTTTTTCTCTTACACGTGTATCTGTTGGCTTTGACAACAAGATTCAGCCCCAAAAATATGACCAGTGGACGAGCTACACTAGACTACTCCAGCACATCTCTTTGGCAGCCTGTGCAGAAGTACCACTTAGAGCTTAAATTTATTGTGATAAATTAATCATTGTGGAGGTTAAAGAATAAATTCTAAAATTTTACAACGCATTTTAATGATCTGTTTACAGAGTAAGAGTTAGCAGGCATTTAAAAATTACTTGGAATATTGACAATTAAATCTTTATTGTAGTGAAAGAGCACATCGAATCTGACTAGTCTGACGAATGTAAGCAGACTCTTACTATGCCAATGAAGATGACTGAAAATCAAGATAGGATTTGAGCTCATAGTGTTGGCTGACAGTCCGTTGCTAAACTGCACTGAATTATCGGAGGTGTCATCCTTCGGACAAGATGTTAAAATGAGATTGTATCTGCCTATTTGTCACATGGATATTAAAGATCCCATGATATTATTTGAAAAGAGAAGTGAGGATCTCCTATTCTGCCCAACAGTCTTGCAAATAAATTAGCCATTTCATCCATTGCATTTCTTTGTGTAAAATGGCTGCTGTGTTTGCCTACAAGTTACTACACTTGGTAGGAATCACTGTTAAGCATTTTTGAGACATGTCAATGTTGTATGCCCTATAAAAATTCAAGTTATTTCTTTTAGAGCATCAATCCTTTAAAAACGGTGGAGCAAAGTACTGCCTTGCGATAAAAGACAGGTCCATGGACTGGTTTATAGGAAACGAGGAGTGACAATGTCTTGCGGCAAATGTAGGTTTGTGTCACCAGAAGCATATTTTAAGGAATAAAGAAATTCTCAGTTTGAGAGAAAAATTCAGTTTTATTGCCAATATGGTGGAAATATTAAATTGGGGAGGGTTCCTGATGCCTTTCAGTTAATTACAAGGGTTCAAGGGACATTATGGACGAGTAAGCATTAGGTAAAGCATGTTATCTGAACACACAGAATTGTTATGATATAAATGTACCAACTACTACTTACAAAATGTAGAAGTTAGTAAATTTTCTCTACAATTTACTTTTGTGTTGCTATGTTTTCATTTCAGGGTTTTGTGTGTCCAGAGCCCCTTACCGGTGACACAGAATTACCAATCCGTGTCTATCAGCTTTACCAAATTATTTTGAGGCTAGCCGCTAGAAAATTCAATGCCTTAATTTTACTGTCACACATTGAACAGGTACAGGTGCATGCAGTGACTGACTGAAGAAAATTTCTCAATAAACAGGAAGTGAGGCTCCAGTATAAACATCCCACTTGAAGGAATAAAACTGCTGCTATAAAAATGGATTCAGAGCTAAATTCTCACACAAAACACCAGGACAACTGGAACAGGTTACTAAGAAAGTCTTAGGAATATATTTTCTGTCTAAAATATATCTTGTTATAGATCGAATAGTATCCTTATTTTTTACCTCAGAACGGTACTGTGGTTCTTGACCAACTCTTAGACTGGACTATCTCCTTTAAACTCAGTGCAGATATTTTTCAATCCCCAGCTTTGTCAGCCCCATTTAAACTTAAGGAAGCCACTCCTGGATGCACACAGTTCTTCATTGTCAGTAGAGTAGCCTCAGAATACAGGAAGCTGGTCCAGAGCAATGTAGAAATTAAGGCTTTCTAGGTACAAGTAAAATATGTCTATTTTCTGTCCTTTTATATTGTGAGAGAGTTTGAATGTGTGTATGTTCAGCCTTCCCCCCTCCCCTTTAAATCCATAAAAACATAAATTTTCATAGAGGCACTTTCAGGACTCTAATCTTGGAATTCGGGTGATACAAGTATTATAACTTTGCAATGTACTTTGAAATCTTTTGATTGTGATGTGGTTTGAATATTTTGGTGATTTACTTACTGCCATATAATTGTTCCCACAATAGATTGCCGTGTTGAATGGACCATAAAGGCAAAATATTCTACTGTATTGGTGAATTGCACAGAGTGGATGTTATATTAAACCAAACAGCCTGGATTTAGGTTTTATATATCTTAATGAGTATTTTTTGTAGGGCAGTTGCCATTTAAGGTCTTTTACCAACTGACTGCTTGATTTTATTTATTTTACTGCAACTGCAGGTTATCTGCTAACAGACAGTTATTTATGGGTGAGATACAAGGTTGCTCAACTTATACACTGTTTATTTGCTTATTGCTTTTATGCTTGTTATCTTCTGTCCTCCCTCATTTTAAAAAGAAAATGTAAAAATGTAGCAGTACAAATTATATTAATAAATAAGTACAAAATTACTCCAATTGGTTTACTGCAGTTTGGATCAATACATAGATTATAAACATTACAGTACACAGAGCAGCACATTCCATCATCAGGCTAAATGTTGAAGTCCTAGCACTTCGTATTGCTGTCCAGAGTGGAGAACGGGGGTGCAGGTTTGAACTTCCTCAATTTGACAAGGAACGCTGTAAAGAGAGGGTGAAAACCTCAATGAATCAAAAGGACGAGGAAAACAATCTGAATTAGAATTTTTTTTGAATGATAATATTAAGGCTCAGTCCGACCGATCTCTGCAATTGAAGTGTTCCAGTGCAACCGTGTTCAACCCACTTCACTGTAGCATGAATTCACTTAACAACACTACACGGTGAACTTTGGTCACTGCACATGCGCGGACCCTGCTAATGACCCTGGTTGAGTGTTTTNAGTTTTCTGTGCTAAAATAATGGTCAAGTTCCAGTGCATTGGGTCACCGACAATGTCACTTGCTTTGCGCATTCACAGAAAGCAGGAAATGTTGCCAGTGACCTGATGAACCAGAAGTTGGCCATTTTTCATTTGAACACAGGAAGCGAATTAGTCAGCTACACCAATCTGCAGTAAAACCTGCCTTGAGCCCTTGCCCATATGCATTGGTGGCGGTGAACTGCATTGCCATGGGGTGACATCCTTCAGAGGTCCCTCTGCCAGTTCAGGTGGAAGTTAATTATTCAAAAAGCTTCGTGTGTAGGGCCTTAAACTGTTCGATCATGATGGGAGAGGAAAATAAACACGCCCAATCCTATTCTCACCCAACATCCACATGCATGTACTTTACCGCAGGGGCTACTGGATGGTGATAAAGTGAGTGTGAAGCATCCTCATCTATGTTCAATAGCCTCTCCTGTCAATGTGTGAGGCCAGATTTGGGCTTGATGTGGAAGTTACTTGTGGAATCCCATTTATCCCAGCGAAATTATGTAAGAAGAGATGCAAATAGAAAAATAACGAACTCACCCGTGTGAGCAAATTGCTCGTGATGGGGTCTGGCAATGTAAGGAATTGCACAAAAAGGTTTGTTCTCCTCTTCTCCGTCACCTGTATATATTGTAGATTGTTTCAAAAATTGTACCATTGATATTCAGTTTCACAGATGATTTGCCTGAACTCTATATAAGTTTTACAAGGTAAGTTGCATTCTGTTTGTTTGGAGAAGAGTCAGTAATGAAATCGTAGTTGGAGAAAAAAAATCTGTGCGCAGTTGGCGGTTTCAATGTCACACACCATTGTTCGGGCAGAGTCCCAGAATTATTTTAAAAGCGACTTCTTGAAAAACAATACTGAAGGGTATTTTTGAAGAATGGGATCAGAGTGGGTAAACGTATTCACTTTCAAGGATATTTAGGAAACCAATAATTCCTATTTTGATATGTAAATAAGAGTTGAAATGGTCAATCTTGTTAAGATGACACAAAAGGACTACAATATATAGTAAAGTGACTGCCAGCATGGTAGAAGGCGAACTAGATGCACCTTGGTCTTCTTTTGCCTAGCAAATTCTTATGTTCTTATGACTAAAAGCACAGTGTGTTACCTTCATCTTCTGACGTGACGACATCGCTTTCTTCTCTGTGCTCCTCAAACTCGACAATCTGGTCCTTTTGTGGTTGCACTCTAGGTGCCGTGGTGCCATCCTTCCGTTTAGCTGGCGACACGAGCCATTCCCTTTGAATCACCTCAATGATTCTCTCGCACACCAACGGCAACTGGCAGCTACGCACCCCCTCCAACAAATCAATGACCTGTGTAATACTGCAAACAAGGTAGAGGATAAGAGTCTCTCTTTATCTCTTTCTTGAATCCCTCAAATCATCTTCTCATCTGTGGCTTTCTGGGGCATTGCATTCCAAAATCTTAGCACTCTTTGATAGAGACAAATGTTCATTCTTGCTTCAGGCATAATACTTTAACCCTAATCTTAAAATCGACAACAACAATTTTATATTTATGTTGCACCTTAATATTCCCATTGAACTATTTGAAAAATTAAGGGTGTTTCTCCCGGTGTCCTGGTCAACAATCCCTCATATTAAGTTGGTTACTGACTCTGTGGCTCTTTGTGGGACTTTGCTGCGTACATATTGTCTGCAGAATATATAGTCACTACACTTTACAGTAAATCCTGTGAAGCGCATTCAATGTCCTATTGATGTGGAAGACGCTATATCAATGAAAATATTATTATTATTGACTGCATATAAAGAGGTACTTGAAAGCTACCACCAAGGGATGACACAAGATGGGTCTAACCTGCATTGACACTTACTTTGCTAGATACACAGCACAGATATGTCCTTGCTTGAGGTGTGAGCAGGTAGCAGGCAATGCAAGCTGAGGGTTTATCATATCGAGAGCTATCTACAAAAGATAAGAAAATTAAGAAATAGAATGTTAGGTATAAAAATCATTTTACCTGAATGTATACTCGGATACTGGCTGTTACCCTCAACTATCCCACTGTTGATTTTCCCTCTCCCTAACCCAGGTGGTGCTGTGCCCGAATGTAGCTCCCCGACTGCTTCTCCAGTTGAGATAATTTGCTTGTTAATTCTTACAACAAAAATGATTGCAGGCAAAAATATCAGCAACACTCAAAAGCAGCAAATGGGTTATTTATACATTTACGTATCACCTGTTCTTGCCTCCTTAAACTTGGTTCAAACACTGCCCAAAATAGAAATCAATGACTTGTTTTCCGAATGTTGATAAATCCAAGAAATCGGAATGGGAGTGAAACAAATGAACACCTTAGATTCAGTAACAAGAGTTTTAGTAAAAAAATAGGCGACTCACAGCATCAAACAGCTTTCCTTGGAGGTCCTCAGTGGCGGACGCAATATCTTTGTTGATGAAGTTGACATTGTTTGGCCATTCTTCCTCGTGAGACACTTCCCAAGCTTTCCTCCAGCGCCGGTAATTCTTTTTGGCATTAGAGTGATGATCCTCCCTGATTTCAAAACTGTACACTCTCCCGGAAGTCCCAACTATTAATGGAGCAATTGGAGAAATGGAATTACTGAATGAACAAATAATAATAATAATCCTTGCATTTCATATAGTGCTTTTCACGTCTTCTGGACGTCTCAAAGCGCTTCACAGAATAGACTGTAAAGTGAATTGACTGTATATTTGTGGGCGAAACGCGGCAGCCAATTGCGCACAGCAGCGTCCCACAAACAGTCGTGGATTGAAGTGTAAACCCGCTTTTAAACTCTGTTTTTCTCTTTATAGAATAATCCTTGCATTTGATTTCAAAACATCTCAAAGCATTTCACCGGTTAATTAATTGTAGGGCAACCGTGGCACACAAATTTGCACACAGGAGGTCCCACAAACAATATTGAAGTGAATGATCAATTTTCCTGGACACTGGGAGGAACCACCTTCTCATTTCAAACAGTGTCCTAAAATCTTTTAACAAAACGTTAGTAACTGTGGCCAAGCCCACACAAGATGAAACATATTGGTTCGTTTCCCCATCAGGATTGTTTGGTATTCAATCTCACCAGATTGCCATTGGGACCATCCAACATATGGCATTAAAAGTTACCTGCCCTGGATAGAAATAGTGTCATTGCTCCACTTCCTGACCCAGCCTCCAAAACACAGTCTCCATGATTCACGTCCATCATCATCAGCATCGTGTTAGCATCCTGGAGGAGGAAGGGAAAAGAAAGACAAATAATGAGAATTCTCACTGAGCGCTATCCTGCCTTGTCATGTATATGCTCATTTTTGGAGACTAGCGACCCATGCACAGGATTGCATACTTTCCAATTACTGCACAGGTTGACTCCCAATCTGCTCGTTCCCATCACAGGTTTTACCTCCACATTGGCATTTTGAATTAACGGTTTAGGCTGGCATTTCAGCTCAATACTGAGTAAATGCCGGATTATTTGAGGTGCCGTCCTTTGGACTGGACTTCAAACCAAAGTCCCACCTGTCTTCACGTGGCTGTTAAACATACTGTGAAACTATTTGAAAAGAGAGGTGGTTTCTTCCTGGTGTCCTGAGCAACAATCTTATCGGATAAATTGATCATTTACGACTTGGCCGTTTGTGGGACCCTGCAATGTGCAAGTCGGCTGCCTGTTTGCGCTACACTTGACCACAATTATCTGTGAAGAGCTCTGAGAGGTTTGGCATTACAGGCACAGAGGTACGTTAAATGTAAAGATTATTGCCGCTTATCAAATGCAATGATTATTATGATCTCGCCGCACCATTTTTGTGAGTGTAAACAAAATCCTTAAGAGCAGATTAGCAACAACAACAACAAAAAATTGCATTTGTATAACGCTTTTCACTTAGGGAGGACGTCCCAAGGCCCTGGACAGCCAAGGCTTTGCACCCGAGTAGGGTGTTGGAATCGAGGGGTGGAGGGCAAGGCATGTGGTGGGATGACCGAAGGCAGAGGGGGGAAAAAAAATAACAGGTCTTGAGTCGGGCCTTGAAGGAGGCAAGGGAGGGGTGAGGGGCAAAGCGAAGGAGTTCCAGAGGGGCAGAAAGGCCTGACCGCCCTCCTGCCGATGGTGAGGCGAGCGGGGTGGAACTCTGCAGCTCGTGTCCTGTCCCGCCCCAGGCTCCGTGACCCCATCCCTCCCACCCTCGCTCCCCTCCACTGGCTCCCCATCCCCCAGAGGATCGAATTCAAGATCCTCATCCTCACCTACAAGGCCATTCACGGCCTCGCTCCCTCCTACCTCTCTGACCTACTATCCCCCTACCTACCTGCCCGTACCCTCCGTTCCTCTGGCTCTAGTCTGCTCCATGTCCTCCGCCCCAACCGCCCTACCATCGGTGGTCGGGCCTTCAGCCTCTCAGCCCCGAGGCTCTGGAACTCTATCCCCAGTGCCTTCGCCGCTTCCTCCCTTTCCTCCTTCAAGGCCGGTCTCAAGGCCTTTCTCTTTGACCGAGCCTTCAGCTCCCTCTCGACTCTCTTCCCCCTCCTCGCTCCCTCCCTTCCCTCCCCTCCCCCTCGACCATTTCCCCCCTCCTCACTCCCCCCCTCCCCTCCCCCTGACCATTTCCCCCCTCCTCACTCCCCCCCTCCCCCTCACCATTTCCCCCACCAATGCTCGGGTCCCGACCCAACAGTCCAGCGCCTCGGGACATCCTCCCGATGTGAAAGGCGCTCTATAAATGCAATCTTGTTGTCGTCGTCGTCGTCGGAACGTGGGGCAGAGGCGGGCGGGGGCTGAGCGGGTGGAGGGAGCGGGCGGGCGTGAGGGCGAGGGTCCAGTCGGCTGCGGGGACAGGGCGGGGGCAGGGGGCAGGGCAGCAGACAGGGCGGGGGCAGGGGGGCAGGACAGCAGGACAGGGCAGGGGCAGGGGGCAGGGCAGCAGGACAGGGCGGGGGCAGGGGGCAGGACAGGCAGGAGCAGGACAGCAGGACAGGGCGGGGGCAGGGGGGCAGGGCGGGGGGGCAGGACAGGGGCAGGACAGCAGGACAGGGCAGGGGGGCAGGACAGCAGGACAGGGGTAGGACAGGACATGGCAGGGGGCAGGGGGCAGGGGCAGGGGGCAGGGGCAGGGGGGCAGGGGCAGGGGCTGGGGGCGGGGCAGGGGGGCAGGGGCAGGGGCTGGGGGGGGGCAGGGGGCAGGGGGCAGGGCAGGGGCTGGGGGGCGGGGGCAGGGGGCAGGGCAGGGGCGGGGGGCGGGGCAGGGGGCAGGACAGGGCAGGGCAGGGGCTGGGGGGCGGGGGCAGGGGGCAGGGCAGGGGCTGGGGGGCGGGGGCAGGGGGGCAGGACAGGGCTGGGGGCCAGACCCCGGCCCTCTCGGGCCCTCTGGGGGGAGGCCTCTCCGAGTCAGGACGAAGGGGCTCTCGGAAGCCGATGGAAACCTTGGGATAGGAAATCGCTGGACCTCGTCTCATCCGCAGCACAAACTCCTCCAGAGACGCTCTCCTCAGCAGCAGCGGCACTCCCGCCGAGGTCCGGAGCTCCTGTCCGGGCCGCTGCCCCGCGATGTCCCGGTGCGGGATGGCCCCGCGGTCGCTCTGCAGCCGCCCCTCTCCGGTCAGAGTGAACATCTTCTGAAACCCCGAGCGGCGCCGCCCTCTCCGGTACTCCGCCAGGACCAGGTCTCCGGGCCTGAGGGGCGCCTCCGCGGCCCGACCCCCCCCTCCCCCCGGCTCCGGCCCCGGCCCCGGGCCCTCGGCCCCGACCCCCTCCGGGTCTCCCGCTCCCCCGCCCGCTGGGCCGCTCCGACCCCCTCCTGAGGCGGGAGGAGGGGCGGCGGCGGCTGAGGCTGACACCAGGTGCCTTTGGGCCCTCGGACCCGGGGGGAGGCCCAGCGGGAGGCCCCGGGAGAGGCCCGGGGGGAGGCCCCGGGAGAGGCCCGGGGGGAGGCCCCGGGAGAGGCCCGGGGGGAGGCCCGGGGGGAGGCCCGGCGGGAGGCCCCGGGAGAGGCCCGGGGGGAGGCCGGGCCGAGCCGCCGCCCACAGCCACTCGGCGGCTCGGCCGAGCGGAGCGGAGAGACGGAGCGGCGGCGACATGTGGTCCCACACAGAGAGGGAGAGAGGCGGAGACGGCGACCGGTTACTGTCACAGGGCCGTGTGGGTGTGTGTCTGTAAGTCAGACCCACGCGGGTCACACACCCACACAGACAGAGAGACACAGAGAGAGAGAGAGAGAGAGACACAGACTCCCTCTCTCTTCCTTTGCCACTCAATAGGAAGCGTTTCTCTCTCTCTCTATAGCTCCTCCTCGACACTGACCACTCACTCACTCACTCACTCACTCAACCCACCCACAGGCCATGTGGTCAGACTGGACAGGAACCCCCCCCCCCACACCCCGACCCCATCCCCCACACCCCCGACCCCCCCCCACACACCACCCCCGACCCCCCCCCCCACACACACCCCCGACCCCCCCCCCACACCCCCGACCCCATCCCCCACACCCCCCGACCCCCCCCCCACACACACCCCCCCCCCCACACACACCCCCGACCCCCCCCCCCACACACACCCTACCCCCCACACACACCCCCGACCCCCACACCCCCCCACACACACCCTACCCCCCCCACACACACCCCGACCCCCCACCCCCCCACACACACCCCCACCCCCCCACACACACCCTACCCCCCCCCCACACACCCCCGACCCCCCACACACACCCTACCCCCCCCCCCACACACACCCCCGACCCCACACCCCCGACCCCCCACCTAAAATGGGGCAGGTTTTGCTGTTTTTGCCACATCTCACTTTATATCCCCCCAAAAAATAATTTAAACCTGTAAACCTCTCTCTCTCTTCCTCCCCCCCATCCCTCCTCTCTCTCTCTTCCTCCCCCATCCTCTCTCTCTCTCTCTCTCTCCCCCCCTTCTCTCTCTCTCTCTCTCTCTCTCTCTCCCCCCTCCCCCTTTCTCTCTCTCTTCCTCCCCCCCATCCCTTCTCTCTCTCTCTTCCCCCCTCCCCCCCTCTCTCTCTCCCCCCCATCCCTTCTCTCTCTCTTCCTCCCCCCCATCCCTTCTCTCTCTCTCTCCCCCCTCCCCCTCTCTCTCTCTCTTCCTCCCCACATCCCTTCTCTCTCTCTTCCTCCCCTCCCCCCCTTCTCTCTCTCTCTCTCTCTCTCTCCCTCCCCCCCTTCTCTCTCTCTCTCTCCCCTCCCCCCCTTCTCTCTTCTCTCCCCTCCCCCCCTTCTCTCTCTCTCTCTCTCTCTCCCCTCCCCCCCTTCTCTCTCTCTCCCCCCCCTCCTCTTTTTCTCGCGCACTTTCCGAACGCGGCCACGCGGAGTCCTGTGGGCTCAGCGGTTAGAGCGCTCAGCTCGCGAGCGAAAGAGACCCGGGTTCGATGCCCGGGCAGGGGGTAAGCCTCGGGCAGGTTTCTTTACTCCACTCCGCACGCCTGACGATGATGATGATCCCGCAAGAGAGGAAAAAAAAGGACCCGATAATAAATCGGTCACTTCAATCTCCACGACTGTTTGTGGGGACGCTGCTGTGCGCAATTGGCTGCCGCGTTTCGCCCAAAAAATCCACGGTCAATTCACTTTACAGTCTACGCTGTGAAGCGCTTTGAGACGTCTCGATGACGTGAAAAGCGCTGCAACAAATGCAGGGATTATTATTATTTATTATTATGAATTATTTGTAAAGAGAATTACGACGACGTTACATTTATGTATGTAACATTGCTCTGGGACGCTCCCCCGTGCGAGGGGTTCAATAGATACGCAAGTTGTTGTTGATTAGCACCCTTCACGTCAAGAGAACATCTCAAAACGCTTCAGAGAGCCGATTAACAACAACAAAATTACATTTATATAGTGCCTTTCATGTCGAGAGGACTTCCCGAGGCGCTGGACAGACAGAGTTACAGACCCGAGCTGTGGTTCGGGGTGGGGGAGAGGGGGAGAGGGGAGGGCGGGGGGGGGAGGGGGAGCAGGGAGATCGAAAGCACGGTCGAAGAGGAGGGTCTTGAGGTGGGTCTTGGAGGGGGCGAGACGGGGGGATTGCAAGATGGAGTTCCAGAGGGTGGGGGCAGAGTGGCGGAAGGCCCGCCCGCCGATAGTAAGTTCGAGCAAGGCGGGGGACGTGAAGCAGGCCGGAGCCCGCTGAGCGGAGGGAGCGAACAGGATGGTAGGGGGTTAGGAGGTCGGAGGGAGCAAGACCATGGAGGGCTTTGAAGGTGAGGACCAGGATCTTGAACTGTATCCTGTGTGTGATGGGAAGCCGGTGGAGTCGGGCGAGGATGGGGGAGGCTGATAGGGTCTCGGAGCCCGGTGCGGGAGAGGACACGGGCTGCAGCCAAACTGAGGATGGGGTGGGGCAGGGTGACCTTCAGTTGAGTCGAAAAGAAAAGGTCTTAAATGACAATAAATCGATGCTTGAAGAAGAGGGATGTTAAAGGGAGTGGAGAGTGAGCAGCGGTGGGGATTGGAAGAGGTGGGTCATATGGAGAAAAACAGATCTGGGGCCAAATGGCATGATTCTGTGCTGTAACGTTCTCCAGGCCAACTTTGTTATAACATTTTTTTAATATAAGAAGCTGTGCTGTGCTGTGCTGGGGTCAGCCTGTACTAGATGCCTTAGTTCCCTTTATAATAACGATCACTGCACTTAAAAATAACTTAAAAATAACTTGGGTGAAGTACTTTTATACACTTGAGACATTTTGTGCACCGCCTGACAGGTGGCAACAGTCAGAGCAGCAAAGACAGAGGCACACGAATAGGTCACAGAAGTCTCACCACACACACACGCACACACACAGGAAATAATGCATGATACAGTGACACCCAGAAATCAAGTGCAATTTGGAGGAAATCCATTTTGAAAGTACACATCAGAGTTGGTCTCAAGTATTGTTTAATGGGAAGACGGATAATTTGGTGGGTGTTAATAATAATAATAATGCTTGCATTTGATACAGCGCCTTATCATGTCAGTGAGACATCTCAACAGCTTCAACGGGATATACTGCAAAGTGAATTGACTGTATTTTCTGAGCGAAACATTTGCGCACAGTGTTCTGGAAGGAGGCGATGCAGTGGGTGAAAGAGCTTGGTCATCTGTGATACCCTTTCTTTTGATCATGTTTTGATCACAACATCTGTTGTGATGTCCCAAGTCTAACCAGTTCACGTGTGTGGCAAGCAGAGCAAGGGAGTGAAGATTGTAGCCTCAAAACCTTCTTCAAAATCTATTCCTTTGAGATCCTTAAATTATTTAATAACAAAACACACCGTCAATTCACTTTGTATATTCTGTGAAGTGTTTTGAGACGTCTAGAAGACGTGATAAGGTGCTATATCAAATGCAAGGATTATTTTTATTATACATACATATCTGTAAAGCACTTCAAGACATGCATCCTTTGCGAAAGTTGTTGCTATGTATAATTGCATATTGTGTAAGGAGAGCAGAGTTTTTAAGGGGAGCCAAAGATTTTACAGTGGTATTTTCTTGGGGTTATACAGCAGCAGTACTTTACCAAACGCCTCCATTTCATCTCAGCAAATGGTTTCTCCTCCCGCCCCCGCCCAGTCACCTGCAGGGTTTCCAGGGGCTTCATCCTTGGCCTCTTCTTTTCCTTATCTATATGCTCCCTCTGGGCGATGTCATCTGCAGACACGGGGTAAACTTCCATATGTATGCGGACGACACACAAATCTACTTTGCCTCCTCCAGTACCAACTCCAGGTCCCCCGATGTTCTATCAGCTTGTCTGGCAGACATCAAGGCCTGGATGAGTGTAAACTTCCTGCAGCTGAATACGGACAAGATGGAAGCCATACTCCTTGGCTCCCGTCAAGGTCTTCCCTCCTGCGGATCTGAACCCCTCAACCTCCTTGGGCTCTCCCTCAGAATCACTGAACCAGTGCGCAACCTAAGCGTCCAGTTCGACCCCCAACTGTCCTTCCTCCCCCACATCCAGTCCCTAACCAGGAGCCTTCTTCCACCTTAGCCACATTTCCCGCCTCTGACCGTATCTTACCCCAAATGCAGCCGAAACCCTCGTGCATGCGTTTGTCACCTCCCACTTGGATTAGTCCAACTCACTCCTCGCCGGTCTCCTTAGCTCCACCATTCACAAGATCAGCTCATTCAAAACTCTGCCGCCTGCATACTGACCCGGACCAACATCTCAGCAGTTCTGGCCCAGGCTCCACATCACCGAATGGATCGACGTCAAGATCCTCAAACTCGTGTTCAAATCCCTTCACTCCTTGGCACCTCCCTAACTCTCCGACCTCCTCACTCCCCAATCCACCACCCGGTACCTCCGCCGACTGGCACCGGCCTCCTGCTCGTCCCTCGCACCATCCACCCCACCATCGGAAGTCGCGCTTTCAGCCATTACACCCCAAAACACTCTGGAACACTCTCACTCAATCCCTCTGCCTTGCCCCCCCTCTCTCCTCTCTTTCAAGTCCTGCCTGAAAACTTTCCTGCTCGACCGTGCTTATGGCCACCTCTCTCCTCCCCCCTCCTCGGAGTCAAGCTCAGCCACTGTTAAGCTCTCTGAGACGCTACCCTGCGAGGAGGGCGCTATACAAGTGCAAGTTGTTGTTGCAGTAAGCAGGAAAGTACTGGAAAATTAATTGCAAAAATGAGCTTTCCTCCAAAACAAAACAAATTGCTCTCGTTCCTCCTGCACTTCTCTTTCCATCTGTCTCTGGGTATCTCATAGCAAGGGACGCACAGCAGCAGATATAAGTTGTATTATTACAGTAATGCGAATGTTTTTGTTATCGTTGAATGGGGATTCAGCCTGTGAGGGATGTTTCTACCAACATTTATTGTACTCTAACAATAAACGTGTGATTTCTACAGACGAGGCGTGACTATATCCTGGTTCCCTACATATTAAACAACATTTTTAGACTAACGTAATTGTTCCGTGGATCCGTAGGCTGTAACTTCACAACGTTCTACAAATTTTAAATTGTATCATAACAGAAAAATTAAGAGTGTTGCACACCCCTGGATATTAGGTTACATTATCACAACAACTTACATTTATATAGTGCCCTTCATGCAGGATTTACTTATTTATTTTGCTCTCTTGTTGGGTGTCTGACTCATGCGGAAACCCATCACTGCTTAAGAGTATCCAAACCAAGCTTGAGATTTCCATGCATCCCACCTACACATAGAAATCCCAGAGCTAGACAGCTGGAATGGATTGCGCACTCTGTCCCTGGAGGGACACATCCTGTTTACCTAATTCCAGAAAGTATTAGGCGCAGGTTGGCAAGAGCCAAGGACTTAGGGATCCCAACAAAAACAACAAAATTGCATTTGTATAGCGCCTTTCACGTCAGGAGGACGTCCCAAGGCACCAAACGCTCAGTGTTTCAGACACGAGCTGGGTGTCGGGATTGGGGAAGGCTGGAGGGCAGGGGAGGGAAGGAGGGTGACCCGAAGGCACTTCTGTGAAGTGCTTTAAGACGTCTCGAAGACGTGATATCAAATGCAAGGATTATTATTACATTGGAGCCTAAGCAGCTGATGGGGTAAATTTCCACATCTATGCGGATGACACCCAACTCTACCTCTCTGCCTCCACCCTGAACTCCAAGACTACTGAGGTCCTGACCGACTGCCTGTCTGACATCAAGTCCTGGACGAGGGCCAACTTTCTCCAACTCAACGTCAGCAAGACCGAGGCCCACCTGATTGGCTCGCGCCAGCGCCTCCGCACATCAGGCGCCGGCAGCATCAGCCTCCACGGCTGCACACTCAACCTCACTAAGCCGGTCAGGAACCTGGGTGTCTTGTTTGACCCTGAACTGTCCTCTCTCCCCCACATCCGCACCATGACCGGCACTGCCTACCACCACCTCCGCAACATTGCCAGACTCCCCCACTGCCTCACCCCTCAGGCTGTCAAAACCCTCACCCACACATTCGTCACCTCAAGGCTTGATTACGGGAACTCTCTCCTCATCGGTCTTCCCAACTCTTCCATTCACAACCTGCAGATCATCCAAAACTCTGCAGCTCATGTACTCTCACGCACCAGGCTCCGCGACCCCATCACTCCCATCCTCGCTCGACTCCACTGACTCCCCATCCCCCAGAGGATCGAGTTCAAGATCCTCATCCTCACCTTTAAGGCCATCCATGGCCTTGTCCCCTCCTACCTCTCTGACCTGCTGACTCCCTACCAACCTGCCCACTCCCTCCGTTCAGCGGGCTCCGGTCTGTTCCATGTCTACCACCCGAACCCGCCCTACCATCGGTGGCCGGGCTTTCAGCCTCTCTGCCCCCACACTCTGGAACTCCATCCCACGGTCGAGCACCTTTCACAGATCTTAAGATGATGCATTACGGGGCTGGAGGATGTTAGTGATTATGCACAACATGTTTACAATTGTTAATCTGAATTAAAGTAATACAATAATTAGCAGTGTTACTCTGGATGGGCTACAGGCTGTGAGTTACTCCACACACTGGCCACACAGATGGGAATGAACAGTGTTAGAGGCTTGAGTCACTCCACACATTGGCCAACAACAACAAGATTACATTTGTACAGCGCCTTTCATGTGGGGAGGACGTCCCAAGGCGCTGGACAATGTGCAGCATTTCAGACCCAAGCTATGGTACAGGGAAGGAGAAGGAAGTGGAAGGGAAGGGGAATGACCGATGGCATAGCTGAAGAGGAGGGTCTTGAGGCGGGACTTGAAGGAAGTTAAGGAGGGGGCGAGGCGGAGTGACTGGGGGATGGAATTCCAGAGGTTGGAGGCAGAGTGGCTGAAGGCTCTCCCGCCAACGGTGGGGCGGGTGGGTCGGGGGACGTGGAGCAGGCCAGAGCCGGCTGAGCGGAGGGAGCGGGCGGGTTGGTAGGGGGTTAGGAGGTTGCAGAGGTAGGGTGGGGCGAGGCCATGGAGGGCTTTGTAGGTGAGGACCAGGATCTTGAACTGGTTCCTCTGAAGGATAGGGAGCCAATGGAATCGGGTGAGAATGGGGGAGATGGGGTCATGGCGTTTGTGCAGGAGAGGACACGGGCTGCAGAGTTCTGGATTATCTGCAGCCTGTGGAGGGGGGAGTTGGGAAGGCCGACAAGCGGAGCGTTTGGATAGTCGAGCCCGGAGGTGAGGACGGCAATGACCGAGAGCTTCAGCGGCCTGAGGTAGTGGCGGAGCCGGGCGACGTTACGGAGGTGAGGGAAGAGGCAGAGCGGTTCGTGGCTTGGATGCGGGTGAAAGAAAAGACCCCCCCCACCGCCCCCCCGCACCCCGCCCCACCGCCCCCGAGGTTCCCGACCGGCTCGGTGGGCCGGTGAGCCGAAGCGCGCGCGACCCCCCCCCCCGCCGCCGGACAGAGCCCGAGGGGCGCCGTCGCGGGCCAATCGCCGCGGCCTGAGGGGCTGCGGGTTGCTCCACAGGGGGGGCCACACGGACTGCCCAGACTGTAGTGACTGGGCATTGTGTGTATGTGTGAGTGTGTGTGTGAGTGAGTGAGTGAGTGAGACTCTGCAGTGATTGACAGCTCCTGTCCCCGCCCCCTCTCTCCCCCCTCCCCCCCCGTCCCCCTCTCCCGGGCGCGCGTGCGCAGTGGGTTACACGTGGCGACACGGCATGGCGGCGGTTGGAGACGGGGCAGAGTCGCGCTGCCGCTGCCGCTTCTCCCCGGCGGCGGCCGAGTGCTTGGCCACCGCGGCGGCGGACGGCAGGATCCGGGTGTGGAGCACGCAGGGCAGCGGCCTGAGGCACGAGTACGTGCCGTCCTCTCACCTGAGCGCCACTTGCAGCTGCCTGGCGTGGGCTCCCCCGCGGCCGCTCGGTCAGGTGAGTCTCAGGCTTCGGCGGGGCCTAGTGAGGGCGGCGCGCGGGGGAGAGGGGTGATCCCAGGGGCCTGGGAGCGGGGGTCGGGCCGGGCCGGGCCGGGTCGGGTCGGGGGCTGTAGTGCGCGGCTGTTACCGAGGGTTTGTCACGGAGCGGGGCCTCGGGGCTGGGACTTTTCAACCGCCTTTTCAGTGGTTGTGGCCGCGGCTGCATGTGGCGCACAGCCGACCCCCCCACCCCCCACCCTTCCTCTCTCTCTCTCTCTCTCTCTCCCCTCCCCCCCCCTCTCTCCCCTGCCCCCCCCCCCCCCAACAACCAGCCTGGCACCCCGCATGATGAGGGGGTTTTTTTTTGGGGGGGGGTGGGGGGAAGAGCTGGGGAGGGGGTGGGGGGTCCCCGAGGTTTTCTCTCCCAACTCGCTTTACAACTAACTAACTGTGGGGGTTGGGGGGTGGGGGGGAAACTCGGTGAACCTCCAGCCGCCCCTCCCTTTTATTATTTTTTTAAAAAAAAAAATTTTTTTTTTACCAAAAAATATATATATTTCTCTCCCCCCCCCTCCATTTATTTCGATGTCAATCTTTTTTTTCTAAAAAAAAGAAGCTCGACTTTACAGAGACGTTTTTAGGGACGTTGTGAAATGATTAGCAGCGACAGACAAAAAAAAATAACTCCCCCCCCCCCCCCCCAAACTCATCGGATCTTTCTGATCCTATTCTCTCTCTTTTTATTAAAAGAAAATTAAAAATAAAAGGGAAAAACTTTGGGATCGAACTTAGTTTGATCTTTTTATTGAGAGCCTTTAAAACAATGTGGTTTTTTTTTACTTTCTCTCTCTCTCTCACTCACTCACTCACTCACACTCTCTCACTCACTCTCTCACTCACACACTCACTCTCTCTCTCTCTCACTCACTCACTCACACATACCATCTCCTCCTCCTCCTCCAGCCTGTTCCACGTGTAATGGAGAGGCGAGCTATGGGCAAGGCAAGGCCACACCGCCTGGGGATTGGGAGTTTTAAAGGGACGGGACCCGTGTGCTTGCCTTGTCCTACCACATGGTTGGGGGGGGGGTTGACCAGAGAGAACTTAACTCCCAACTTGTCTCAGTTTTTAGTTGTTAATCACCAGCTTGAGGTGTCTGTCTGTCTGTCTGTCTGACTTGCACACGTTGTGGAGCTGTAACTCACTGACAATCCACAGCTTGGAACTGTTCATGTTAAAATTTAGTTTTTTTTTAAAACGATCTTTCTCGTTAAAAAATGTACCCAAATGAAGTAGTTTCGCCCACACAATATACAGTCGATTCACGTTGCACTATATTCTGTGAAGCGCTTTTGAGACGCCTCGGAAGACGTGATAAGGCGCTATATCGAATGCAAGGATTATTATTACTATTATTTAGTGCTAAAGTTGTAATATTATCCATGTGCAGGTGCAAAAACTAACCATTTTATGAAACGAAATCCCACTTTTCATTATTTTCCACATATATTGATGCACGTGTAATGCACTTTCAAGACGCGGATGTGGATTTAAAATTAGCAGAAGAAAAGGAAGCAGAGAGTCATTGTTGGGGGAGCTCGGTCAAAATGGGGCAACGTATTAAGCGAGGTACCTCAGGGGCCTGTACTAGGACCCCTCCAGTTCCACATATATATTAGAATGACCTGGATTCACAGACCCAGTAAATTTGCAGATAACACCCAAGTTGGGGACAACAACATCAACTTGCGCTTATACAGCGCCCTCCACACAGGGTAGCGTCTCGGTGCTTTAGCAGCGGCAGAGCCTGACTCCGAGCTGGGAGGGCGGGGGGATCGTAAGCACGCTCGAAAAGGAAGGATTTCAGGCGGGACCTGAAAAAGGGGAGAAAGGGGCAAGGTGGAGGGATTGAGGGAGAGAATTCCAGAGTTTCTGGGCAGAGTGGCTGAAAGCGAGACCTCTATTGGTCGAGCGGAGAGTGTGAGGGACAAGCAGGAGGGTGGTGCCAGTCGAGCGAAGGTGGTGGATTGGGGAGTGAAGAGGTCGGAGAGGTAGGGACGTGCCCGGGAGTGAATGCATTTGAACATGAGTGTGAGGATCTTGAAGTCGATCTATTCGATGATGGGGAGCCAGGGGAGCCTGGCCAGAACCGGTGAAATGGGGGTACGGAGTTTGGTCCGGGCAAGTATGCGGGCAGCAGAGTTCTGAATGAGCTGGATTTTTTGAATAGTGAGGCTGGGAAGACCGTCGAGGAGTGCGTTTGAGTAATCCAGGGTTTCGGCTGCATTTGAGGTAAGGTTCGGTTGGAGGCGGGCAATGTGGCGGAGGTGGAGGAAGGCAGTCCTGGTCACGGATGGATGTGGGGGAGGAAGGACAGCTGGAGGTCGACCATGATGCCTAGATTGCGCACTGGTTTGGTAAGTCTGAGGAAGGGAAGGAAATGTGGAATCGGAGGAGGAAGCAAAGGTTCTACAAAGAAAGCTTGATAGAGTATGCACATGGGCTGATACTTGGCATGTTAAGTTTAGTACCAATAAATCCAAGGTACTTCATATAGAATTTAAGAATAGAAAACACGAACACTCCATGAATGGGATTGAATTTTCCAAGGGGGGGAAGCTGAAAGGGGTGTTCGTTGACTCATCGCTCACAATGTGAGGCAGCAATAAACAAGGCAAATGGACATTATTGCTAAATCAGCTAAGTTCAGATCCCCTGTAGAATGTTCCGGTCAGACTGCACCTTAAATACGGCTTAGAGTTCTGGTCACCATGTGATAAGGGGGCTATCAAGACCAGAGTCCAGAGGAAAGCAATGAGGATGATTCCCCAGTGTTAGAGGAATAAGTTCTGAGCAACGATTAGACAAGCTCGGGCTCTTCAAGTCTTGTAAGAAGACGACTTAGATGGGACTTCACAGAGGTGCACAAAATTTTAAATGGGATTGAAAAAGTAAACCCAGATCAATAATTTAGGATATATCAAGACAGTGGAACAATAGGACATAGATTTAGAGCTGTAAAGGGTAATTTCAGCTAATACTCAGGAAGTTTTTCTTTACGTAGGGGGTAATCAATGACTGGAACAGGTTACCAGGAAAGATGGTAAAGGCCAGGGCACTAGATTCATTTAAAAAGCAGTTTGATGAAGTGATGGGGGACATTAAGGCGGCTGTTCCAGAGGAATGAGATAGGATGGGCTGAAAAGCCTTCTTCGTCCAGACCAATCTTTATTTTCTGAGAGATCGAGGTTATAGATCAATAATTTATATTTTATCCCCTTTTTCCTAAAGGCACTGACTTGTTCTGGGATAGGATTCCTTGGGTGCTTCTTGCCCTCTATAAATGGCTGACATGGACACTTCCATGTGTGAGGTTCACACATGATAGGAGCCATTTTTTATGTTTGTGTGTAGATATTAACTTTTGAAGCGATTGCACATCTCTGAACCTGTTCTCACCTGATGTCCACCTGTTTGCAAGGTCAGCGGCTAGTGATCAGGAGCTTTACTCTCTGTTTGGCATGCCACTTCCCTGGCCTAGTGGTGCCCACAAAATACACACAGTCACACCACTTTACATTAAATACTGCGAAGGGCTTTCAGATGTCTTGACGAAATGAGGAGATCCTATATCAAAGTTAAAGTATTATTATTCTGTACTGTCACTCATTAGATCAGCTAATTCTGCATAGACTGATGATTGACCCTGAGTCTTGGGAGTCCAGGGCTTTTTGATATTGAGTTAGGGTTAGGATTGAGCAGTGGATTCACCATTCGTGTCCTCAGAAGCTCTGAGAACTGTCAACAAATATGTTTTCAGTTACCGGTAAACCAGTTAACTAGTTGCTTTCTTACCAAAAAGTAAGCTGCAGTAATGGACTCAACAGGTAAGAGATTTATATTGTTAGTGACAATTGTGTAAACCACAAAATAGTGTAGGTCTTTGTTTAACTTTCTTCAGCTCAATGTGCGCAAAACTGAGGCCCTCCTGATTGGCTCACGTCAGCGCCTCCGCACCTCAGGCGCTGACAGCATCAGCATCCAAGGCTGCACTCTCCACCTCTCAAAGCCATCAGGAACCTCGGGGTTCTGTTCGACCCTGAGCCGTCCTTTCTTCCTCATATCCGCACCACAACTGGCACCGCCTTCCATCACCTCCGGAACATCGCCAGACTACGGCACTACCTCACGCGGCTGAAACCCTGGTCCACGCCTTTTATCACTCAAGGCTGGACTATGGGAACTCTCTCCTCGCCGGCCTTCCCGGCCCTCCCTCCACACTGCAGGTCATTCAGAACTCTGCAGCTCGTGTACTGTCCCGCACCAGACACCGCGACCACCCTCGCTCGCCTCCACTGGCTCCCCATCCCCCAGAGGATCGAATTCAAGATCCTCATCCTCACCTACAAGGCCATTCTCGGCCTCGCTCCCTCCTACCTCTCCGACCTACTATCCCCCTACTTACCTGCCCGTACCCTCCATTCCTCTGGCTCCGGTCTGCTCCACATCCCCCGGCCCAACCGCCCTACCATCGGTGGCCGGGCCTTCAGACTCTCAGCCCCGAGGCTCTGGAACTCCATCCCCCAGTGCCTTCGCCGCCTCCTCCCTTTCCTCCTTCAAGGCCGGTCTCAAGACCTTTCTCTTTGACTGTGCCTTCAGCTCCCCTCTCGACTCTCTACCCCCTCCTCGCTCCCTCCCTTCCCTCCCCTCACCCTGATCATTTCCCCCCTCCTCGCTCCCTCCCTTCCCTCCCCTCACCCTGATCATTTCCCCCCAATGCTCGGGTCCCGACCTAACCGTCTAGCGCTTTCGAATTCAAGATCCTCACCCTCACCTACAAGGCCATTCTCGGCCTCGCTCCCTCCTACCTCTCTGACCTACTATCCGCCTACCTACCCGCCCGTACCCTCCGTTCCTCTGGCTCCGGTCTGCTCCACGTCTCCCGCCCCAACCGCCCTACCATCGGTGGTCGGGCCTTCAGCCTCTCAGCCCCGAGGCTCTGGAACTCCATCCCCAGTGCCTTCGCCGCCTCCTCCCTTTCCTCCTTCAAGGCCGGTCTCAAGTCCTTTCTCTTTGACCGTGCCTTCAGCTCCCCTCTCGACTCTCTACCCCCTCCTCGCTCCCTCCCTTCCCTCCCCTCACCCTGACCATTTCCCCACTCCTCGCCCCCTCCCTTCCCTCCCCCTTACCATTTCCCCCCAATGCTCGGGTCCTGACCCAACTGTACAGCGCCTTGGGACGTCCTCCCGACGTGAAAGGCGCTGAATAAATGGAATCTTGTTGTTGTTGTTTGTGTCGTCCTCCCGACGTGAAAGGCGCTCTATAAATAAAATCTTGTTGTTGTTGCTTTATTTTTTGTTCCTCTGCATCTCTCCTAAAAACTCTGCATGTACTTGGATATGGTTGCATGGATCTCCTCTGCACCAAGTGGCCATTCTTCATGTGTAAGCCCATGCAGTTGAATATCAGTGAGCCATGTAACTGAGAGACATCACTTCTCAGTCCAAACCTGAAGTTGCCCAATTTACATTGCCCAGTTGTCCACTTTACAGTTCACAGCAGATTCTCTTGAAGTGTGATCAGATGTGGTTCTCTGTCTCTTTTTTACTCTCTGTCTATCACTGAAGACTTTTAGTTCTGTTTGCCTCATTTTCACATTGGGCTGTGAATTAAGAAGCTGAGCCATTGTGTATTTTTACACATGGCCATTTGGAGGTTGTATCTTTTTGCATTTAAATCTCCAGAGTAGCCACAATTTTTTTAAAAAAGATTGACAAACGGCTTTCAATAGAAATAGCTGACATCAAGAGGGTTTTCTTTACAGAAAAAGTAATAGTCTGAGTTTGAAGTGAATGCATCTGAATAAAAGTAACGTTGCCTATGAAATGCAGTGAAGTTCCTACAAATACTTCATGAAGTTCTAAGATGTCTTGTAATAGCCACTATCAAAGGAAGGATTCTTTACCATAATACAGAAACATAAATCTACAGTTGGGAGGATGTTCTAATAACTATAAAGCAAGCAGTTTGCTTTTTCAAAGCTTGTTATTAGAACCCTTCAGTAACTCCCAGTAAATCTTCTAACATAATGTTTGATTTCAAAATGTTTTTCAAAAGATTAAGTGAGGCTTTGTATAACAACTTGCATTTATATAATTACTACATGTACCCGTTGCAGCTACACTTGCAACCAAAGGATCCGATATGGAATCTAGATTTCAGTGAAATCACTCACAAACCATTTAACATGCCTTAAACACTGTGTATACCTTAAGCAAAATTGCCATCCATGTGCTTTGAGCTTGTTTAGGTCCTAGATCATCAACGATAGGCGGTCGCCCCCCCCAAAAAAAAAATATGCCCATGACACTCGCAAGACATTTCCGATGAGGTATGAATCATGTCTCTACATCAATCGGTTATTGCTGGACAGACACACAGACAGACATTTTGTCTTTATTAGTATAAAGTACTCAACTTTGTATAGAGAGCATGTGTGGAGATCTACAATCCTGCTGTTGCATTGGTCACTGGATATCACTGCTTTTTTCTTTTTAAATAAAAATTGTGTGTGTGTATATGATAGATTGGGGTGGGTGGTGGGGGGAGATCTATCGGCAATAAAAATGCATGATTTTCTTCCCTTCCCTCTTAACTCTAGGAGGAGCTTTGGGACACTGCCCTGCGTGAGGGGCTCTATACGAATGCAAGTTGTTGTTAACTTTCTTCCCTTGTATTTCTCCAGTAGGTACTATATGGGTCATGTTGCATTGTGTCACAAGTGCTGGCAATCCTCCAGCATCTATTTCTCCTGTGTGTCTATGGGTTGGCTGTGCTTAGTAGTGGTACAGTGAAGTGCATATGAATGACTCCCTCCCCATATGTGACTGTTTTATTCCTCTCTCATCATCTTTCAGGATGGTCCACAAAAGAAAAAGAGAAGATCAGAAAATGTGCACAGTAGTCCAGAGTTGGACCTGTTAGCTATCGGCACAGCAGTCGGCAGCATCTTACTGTACAGCACAGTGAAGGGAGAACTCCAGAACAAGCTGGTAAGCGGTTTCTTTTTCGATAAGACAATCTTTTGCAACTTGTTTACTTTTATCCTGTGGGAAATGAGTGAGTGGCTTGGCTCGGATGTTTTCTTGCATCTTTTAAGGAGAACTAGTGTGAGGAGAAAATTGTGCAGCAACAACGTTTTTTTTAAAAAAAAAATCCAATCACATGAATTGCATTATGAAATGCAGTGGAATGCTGTGTATCTGAGCCCCAATTTCCATCTTGACCGGTTGTCTGAACTGGCTGGTCCTCTCTACATGCATCCCTTTGTTCATATAGCACATCAGTTTTGGACGGGGTTTATGACAATGTGCTAAGGCAACAGGTTTAATATACAATCACATATCTGAATTACTCACTTTATATTAACGGTCTTTGTTTACTGTGCCATTGAATGGCATTTACAGTAAAAATCGGTCTTGTAAAACTTAATTTGGGGAGTTCGATCGCTGCATAAGCTTAGTGCTTGTTTCAGTTACATTTTGCCTATGAGCATTGCAAAAAAACGAATTTGAATATTGCTCCCAATGCATGTTTGTAATTCACACGCGTTTAGTGGTTGGTAAGTTTGAAATTGTTGCTCTATCAAGCTTATCCTTTCTTTATAAAATACTGCTAGGATGGCGGACATGTCAGTAAAGTGAACTGTATACAGTGGCATCAAGAGAACGGTCATCTATACAGTTGCTCAGATGACGGACACATAGCGGAATGGAACGCACGAACAGGGAAAGTGAAATGGTTAGTAGAAGGTTCTACTTTTTCAGATGATGATGTGTAATCGATTTGAAGAGCCTCGCGCTCGTTTTCAAATCCTTTCATACCCTGGCCCCTCCTTACCTCTTGCCTGCTTACTCCCCATACCCACTGCCTCTGCTCGACTGGCTCCCTCGTGCCCTCCGTTCCACCATTGGTGGCTGCACTTTCAGCCACTATGCCTCGAAACTCTGGAATGTTCTTCCTCTATCCCCCTGCCTTGCTCCTTTCTTCCCCATATTCAGATTGTGCCTGAAGACCTTCCTCTTCGACCGTGCCTATATCACCCCCCCCTGGCTCAGCGTCATGCTACGCTACCCTGTTTGAGGGGTGTTATATAAATAGAATTTTTTGTTGTCATTGAACTTGCCTTGTTTACTGCCTCCTGTCAGCCATGTGATTTGATTTTGGGGCACCTTTCTATAAGGTGCTTCATTTAACAGTTGTTCTCCAGCTTGGAATAGAATGCAGGTCGAATGAATTTTAACTCCATGACTCAACTGAATATTTGCTTTGAAGATTATTGCTGTAACCATTATATTTTCTGACTCCCCTGCTTCACCGCCTTTAATCTTTAACGTTTCAAACTTACAGCTAGTACCTAACAAAGTACATTGACTTAAAGCTCTTTTCTGGGTTTTGTGAGTTTTACAACTGCCTGTTATTCTGTAAACAAAAGTACATTACATTTATCAACTCAATGTAGGCATTTTACACCACTTGAAAGAAAAGTTGGACTGTTTGAGGCTCTTATCCCATCATGAATTTAGATATTCTAAGATGGCAATTTTGTACCAGTCTCTAATGTAGTGTTATGAAATGTGATTTTTTTAATATTGTAAACATTTAGGCTCTTAGCAGAATGTGAATAGCAATAAAGCTTGGCCATATTTATCCCAAACTATTGAGAGCTGAAAGATTATAGTCTTTTCATCTTGAAGTCTGAAGCCATTAAAGGAGCCTTTTTATTCCCTTGTGATTCACAATTTATTTGTGTTGGAGGGGTGGTTACACCACTATCAGCAACTGAATTATCTTGATTCAAGTGCCTGACTGTGTGTGAACCTGCACTGAGAAACTATGCAACTGTGAAGAACTTCACAGTTAAGTCTCGTGACCACGACTGTTTGTGGGACATTGCTGTGCGCAAATTAGCTGTCGCGTTCCGCCCACGAAATGTTTGGTGAATTCACTTTACAGTATATTCTGTGAAGCGCTTTGAGACGTCTCTAAGATGTGATAAGGTGCTATATTAAATGCAAGGAATATGTTCTCATACAATATAAACTCTAGAAATAGATAAATGTGGAAAACACTTTCTTTTGCTCCTTTTTGCTTGTTCCTCCTCTGTAGCTGAAAGATACTAAGAGTAGTTGTAGAGCCCATTTGCTGCCCCAGCTATGATTCCCCCTACCTCAACACAGACCAGGATGCAAACCTATGTCCATCTGATTTTACGGCTCAGTATGCAGTTCTTAACATCTTGCTGTTTGGTTCTGCGTTGTATTGTCTGTGATGAAACAAAATTGTGTGTAAAATTTGTATTGGTAGAAATAAGGGTTAATTTGGATGGTTGTGAAAGTGAAACTCAGATTGTTGGAACTACTTCAAAGGCAAGTTTGTTACAACATCATCCTGTCCCTAATGTTGCTCCAAACTTTGGGAGTTTTAGTACTGTATTTGGAACCTTTCTGGTCGGCCCATATTGCCTTGATTCACAGTTATTTATTTTCTGAAAAGTATCTGAAAGTCACTCGATGATAAGGATGTTTATCAGCATTGTGGAAGCGAACTGCTGCATATGATATTTATACAGCATTGTTAGAGAATCAAAGTTGATTGGTTGCAATGAACAGAGGGCTGCGCCAACTATAAAAAACTTGAGACTGATGGAGGAGACACTTCCTAAAGTAATACAGTGCTTAACTATATTGTTCCAAAGCAGAGCTGGTGGTAGGCCTCAATGCTGGAATATGGTCCTTTGGGTCAGTCAATTAATCTGGAGTCCTGTTTATCTGTCCAAGCATATATTAAAGATCCCACGGGACCGTTTGAAAAGAGAAGGGAATTTTTCCTGGTGTCCTGGCCAACAATCTCACAGATCAAATGATCACTCATTTATTCGCACTGATCTCGCAGTTGCCTACAAAATAATCACTGCATTTTATTATAAATCCTGTGAAGCACTTTGAGTAAATACTATAATCCTTGCAGTTGATATGGCACCTTTCACATCAGGAGGAAGTCTTGAAGCGCTTCACATCTGCAAAGTGCTATATCATATGCAAGGATCATTATAAAATCTATTATGTAATTGTAGCTTGTTTTGTTGAGGTTCAACATTTCTAGTTGGATGTTTATTCTTACAACAGAGTTATAAAACCTTGATTTGAGTGTAAATCTATCAATCAAATTGTGGATTGCCTGAGTTGTGCAGTGATGACTTCAGAAGGTTTCGCTAAGTTTCTGACAAAATCAATCAGATGACATTTCCTTGGCTGTCTGAGCACATTGCATTAGCCCACTGATTTGCTATTCGAGCTGTATGAATTGATGGTCCAATTTTAAATCGAATCCACTGAAAGGCAAATATGAATGGGAAGGTTGCACTTATTCTCCAAGAGAAAGGCAGGCTGGTGCACTATGTGTTGGGATTCTTACTTCTCCTTCCCCATCCATGGTCTGCCTAACAACGTGTCAACCAGTAACTCATCCACAATGCCCAGAGTTGGCTATCAGAAGCAGGTATTTTAATCAATTGACTTGCTAATATTTTATCTGATGAATTTTTTAAATCCCCCATCATCACCGATTGTGTATTATCTCTGGTTCTTCAAGGAGAATCAGGCTATATGGGGTTATTGCAAATTTTGGTCATTGCGGGGTTCTTCGGACTACTGTGTTGACTAAATTACAGCTTTTAAAAAGGACTTTGGTTTAATGTATTTTTTTTTAAAAAAATCCTTAACAGCAAGTGGAAAGCTGAGAAGGGCAGTGTCAGCTGTTTATGTATCAGCCCCGATGGAAAGATGTTGCTCTCGGCAGGCCGTGGCATCAAACTATGGGACTTGGAGACCAAAGAAGTGTACAAGGTGAGTGCTGTGTGTATTCAAATGGGGGTGGGTGGATGAAATGCAACTTGTATCAATCATGCTGCTTCCAGACAAATGTGGAGGCCTGTAGCTTAGTGGTTAGAGCACTCGCCTCGCAAGCGAGAGGACCTGGGTTCAATTCCCGACAGGGTGAAACGTTGGGCAACTTTCCTTACTCCACACACCTCTTGTTTACCTAGCAGTAAGTAGGAACCTGGTAGTCGATTGGTGGATCGCTTTTCCGGGGGTTAAAAAAATAATAAATTGGTCAATCAATCCATGACTGCTTGTAGGACGCTGCTGTGCGCAATTGGCTGCCACACTTCGCCCACAAACTATAGTCAGTTCACTTTACAGTATATTCTGTGAAGCGCTTTGAGCTGTCTCAAAGACATGATAAGGCGCTATATCAAATACAAGGATTATTATTATTGAATGGTGATTCTCCTTATCGCTAGCTACCCAGAGTTAAATACAATTTAGAAAACGTGCAATATACTAGTGCAAATCTCTGTCGACAATCTAAACCAGCGATTTGCCCAAGGTGTGCTATGATGACTTAATAAGGTTTCGCTATGTTTCTGAGAAAATCGGATGACACTTCCTTGGCTGTCTGAGCATATCCATTTTGGGAAAACTTGACACTCCTTGGTTGGAGATGCTACCTTTAATATTTGCGAGATAGATGGGCAAATAAATACTGACATGTTAAAATGAGACTTAAAGTAAGATCTCATGATTACGAGGTTCACAAATGCAGGGAAGTTGGCCAGTTGAGAGTTAGCCACCTCTCGGTAATCAGCACCTGTTCATTGAACTTGATCAATTAATCACTTGCAAACGTCAGGCAATGTGTGGTCCAGTAATGTTTCCTTTCCATTATCTTTCTGCAGAAATTCACAGGCCACTCGACAGCAGTCACGTCTCTCACGTTTGCAGCAATACGACCTGCCAATGACAGTCCGCCGTTTGATGGAATAACTGGGCTGTACTTCCTGTCTGGCGCTGCACATGATCGAATTCTTAATGTTTGGTGAGGCAACTTTAGTGTTTCACTATCTATCAGTTTACATATCTAGGTATGCTTTGCAATTTCCCCGGGCAGGGTTGGGCAATTTTTCTTACCTCATACGCCTCTGTTTACCTAGCAGTAAGTAGGAACCCGGTTGTTAGTCAGTTGGTGGATCGCTTTTCCGGGAGTAATAATCACTTCCTCCCTCAAAAAATAAAATAAATAATTTGGTTACTCAATCCATGACCGTTTGTGGGGCACTGCTGTGTGCATTTGGCTGCCGTGTTTCGCTAAAAAATATACAGTCAATTCACTTTAGGGTCCTGGATGAGAGCTAACTTCCTGCAGTTTAACGTCAACTACACCAAGGCCCTCCTGCTTGGCTTCAAACCTTCATACCTTGTCACTGACATCTCCCTCCATGGATGCACTCTACATCTCACTTATCCAACACGGAACCTCGATGTTCTGTTCGACCCTCAACTGTCCTTCATACTCCACATCCGTGCCATGACCAGCTCTGCCTTTTCCAACGTCCACAACATTGCTCGGCTTTGCCACTGTCTCACACTGTGGGCCGCCGAGGCCCTCATAAACACATACAGAACATCCAGACTTGACTACGCCAACTGCTTGTTTGTCGGCCTCTCCAACTCCTCCCTCCATAGGCTGTAGATCATCCAGAACTCAGCAGCCCATGTCCTCTCTCGCACCAGGCTCTGTAACCCTATCACCCTCATCCTTGCCCGACTCCACTGGCTTCCCATCACAGAGGATACAGTTCAAGATCCTGGTCCTCACCTTCAAAGCCCTCCCCCCGACCTCTCCGACCGCCTAACCCCCTACCAACCTGGCCGCTCCCTCTGCTCAGCGGGCTCCAGCCTGCTTCATGCCTCCCCTCGCCCGCCCCACCATTGGTGGGTGGGGCTTCAGTTACTCTGCCCCACCCTCTGGAACTCTATCCCGCAGTTCCTCCGCCTCATCACCTCCCTTGTCTCTTTCAAGACCCATCTCAAGACCATCCTTCGACCGTGCCATCGGTCACCCTCCTCCTCCCCCAGCCCCTCACCCTCCTCGATCCTGACCCTCAGCTTGGATCCAAAACACATTGTCCACTGCTTTGGGATGGCCGCCCGACATGAAAGGCGCTATACACTGTAACTTTGTTATATTCTGTGTCGCTGTAGACATGATAAGGTGCTACATCAATTGTAAGGGTTATTATAATGCCTTAAAAGCTCCTTTGCATTGGGATACCATTATCTGGATTACAAACTTCAACTTGCTACTTTGAGGTTTGAATTAAAAAAAATGCAACTGCAAACTAAACCAGGGATTTGTCCAAGGTGTGCTATGATGACTTAATAAGGTTTCGCTAAGTTTCTGAGAAAATCAGATGACACATCCTTGGCTGTCTGAGCATATCCATTTTGTTGTATTGTGCTCTCCTTTAGTTGCTAATTCTAGAACGGTTAGTCTACTAAAGGCCCATTGTGTATTTTAGTGCTGATCCCCCTTCCCTCCCACCACCTGGGGAAATGCCAATTTTCTGTGCTCAATTTGATTTCTTAAAGACAAACTGGTGTTTTTCGGCTGTTTCCAATGATCGAATATGAGGTGGTGGCTTTGCAGGTGATGCTCAGTTTTGTATCTTCCTTAGTCGTGTCTATACATTGGCAGCAGTTTTTGTTTTCTTTTCCAAATATACAGCTATATACAGCTTTTGTTTAAATATGTGTTTGACAGGATTTTATTTCTTATCAACAGGCAAGTACGGTCAGATGGAAAGGATAAAAATGCAGTGCTCTCCTTTACATTGACAGACGAACCTATATATGTAGATCTGTCCACTTCTGAAGACCGGGAAGACGTAAGTGGAGATGAATTATGATGCCTGTTATACAATCACAAAACACGTGAACTCTAAACCACTCTTGGAAAGGTTTCCAATGGTTCTTGAGACCCCCCACCCCCCCACCTGCCTCCACTGGATTCTGCCCTCTATGGCTAGTGAACACCGAATGTGTGCCACATTATAACCTGGGGGTGGGAGAGGGTGGGCAGTCTGTACTATAGTTGAAAGCTGAGAGACTAAATGGTCAAAGTTGACTGGCTCTTTGTTGCCATTGCTAATGTTTCCCCAGTTCATATCAGAAAGCTTGTACATTTGTGTCCAACCAACTGCTTAGCAAAAATAATCTTTCCCCAATGTCAACTCAGGTAAAGTAACCATGTTCACTTCATACTGTGGATCTACCAAGTTAATGCTACCCTTTTCACTGCAGTGTCACACTATTCTAAGATTATGTATGAAAGTTCCTGCTAAAATGAAGTCATTTGAATAAGCAAGAAATTATGCAGCAGAAAATTAATATTATTTAGAGTCTAATGGCTACATAGTGATAAAAGGATGGTTAAGTTGACCCTAAATACCCTGATGCTGTTATCCATCAGTAACTGGGAATGCACAGCATCATATTGCCTTTAGGATATAGTAGAATCTGTAAAATGAAAGAATTGTGTTTGAATTCCTAAATCTTTTCAATTTGAATCTTTCTGTGACTGTTAATCAGTACAGTCATGTGCATTAGTTTTTATTTGGGGGGGGAAAAACTTTTTGCTTTGAGTGAATGATGGATCTAATCAAAGTTCTTGCTTTTCAGCCCATGAAGCTGGCAGTTGTGTGCAGAGATGGACAAATGCATCTGTTCGAGCACATTTTAAATGGGTAAGACTTTGTTTAATTCAGAAACATTTCTCTTCCCCCATGTTGTAGTGTTTTGAGTTGTAAAGCCTGAATTTTTGCTACTCTGCACCAGCGAGCCTGTGACTCAATAAAATATTTTTAGGATTCTTGGCCTTGCTCTGGTAGCTACACAATGAATTGTTAGTCTGTTGAGTTGGAGATCATGTTAACGTTACAGACTGTTTGTAATCACATTCCAACTTCCATCAGAATGTGACCTTTGACTCTCTGTTGGGTTGACTTTTCTTCCACTGTGTGAGCCCTACATCAAAGTCTGGCTATCACTCCATTGATAAACATTGTACAGAAAAGAATGACGGCATGTTAAACTCATACCTGCATCAGTTTGCATGTAGTATTGGGTTTTACGCTAATTATGCGTATACAAATGTAAATCCCAGACTGTACCATATGCATATTCTTGCGCATAAATGCTAGCTTATTGAGTTGACACGTATGCTTTCCCTTTCGAAGGCTCTGAAGGTATGTGTCAGCCTAGCACAGGGGCGCTCTCCCCTCGGAGTCAGAAGATTGTGGGTTCAAACCCCATTTTGATGCTTGGAATCACACGTTCTAACATGACACTCAAATGTGGTGCTGGGGTGTGTTGCATTGTTCGAGGTGAAATACTTTGGTTGAGATAGTAAACCGAGAGTACTGTTTGCTTGTCAAGTGGATATTAAAGATACATGGCACTATTCGAAAAGAGATGGGAGTCCTGACTAATAACCCGCCCTCCAAATAAGATTGGTCACTCACACCGTGGCTGTTTTTTGCGGGACACTACTGTGCGCAAACTGCCTGTTATGTTTCACTCACAAAATACAGTCAAATCCACTTCACAATATATCCTGTGAAGCACTTTGAGATGTGATGAAGTGCTATATCAGATGTGAGGCTTATTATTGTCATTATCCCCAGATCATGTCAAAATCCTTGTGCAATTGTGCCCAGGGGCCTGTGTCTATGGACAATGATCTCTCTTGGTGCCTCTGCTGAGATCAGCTAACTCAGTGGTTTTAGTCAGGCACAGAATTCGTTTTCTTGATTGAATATTTCTTGATTTATGCCATAAATCAAGAAATATTCAGTCTAGAAAAACCTGGAAACCCACTCCCGATTGAACACTTACTTAGACTTACTTAGACTAGTGCTAATATTCAGGGGCTGTTTCTTCCTGGCCTCGAGGGCTGTAGGTTGGTTGGCACAATGAAAAAACTCCATTCTGGTTGTTTTTTTTTCCCCCCAAATCCTACCTAATCTCCGGGCTACCTAACCTTGGCACACACACAATGTGTGCTTGAGTTGCTTGAATCAGCTCAGTACTGGGACCCCCGACAGATTATCCTCTCCCTAGCCCTGTAGGATCGGAGACATTCCTTTTTTAAAAAAACAAACCTGTCTAACCATTGTATTATTTTAAATAGGTTCTGCAAAAAGCCTCTCTTACCAACCTGCACGGTACAGGTAGCCACATCGGGAAAGGGCACAGACACAAGACCTGTTCCTATCCTGGGAGCTGCGTTTTGTTCGGATAGGCAATCGTTACTGATAGCATACAACACCGTGTTGCATCCAATCCTAGAGAAAGTGGTAAGTAGCTGATGAGTAATGCACATTTATGACCAGGTCACCTTCCTCCATCTCCCCACTTCCTGCTCTTTCTGTAGGTTGACATGCAGACATTTTTGCACAGATCAAATTTTCAGGCTATTTTTGTTTATTTCTTTTTCAAAAAATACTTTTTTCTTACCATTTTAAAAAAAATAAAGTGGCTCCCAACTTCTAAAAGGGTATGGTGAGAGCTGGACATTATAACAAGGGTACCTGGAGACAAATTTAGAAACTAAAATGATTAGAAATGCGTTTAAAATCAAAATACAGAAAGGAAAAGTAGAACAAATTGAATTAGATGAACATCTTTACAATTAACTTGCTTGAAGTTTTATTTTCATATAGTTTTGCTGGGTTGGGTTAAGATCACAATAAAGGCTATTCTTAAAGTTTGAGTAACCTGTATACTGGAAGAGAACTTTGTTATTTGTCTTTTTTTAAAAAATAAGCTAAAAAAACAGTGTAGAACTCATCAGTCACAGAACTGTGAGCACATGAGGGTTAACTTGGATGGTGGGAAGGAAGTTTGTAAGTGAAGTTGAGTCAAGCAATCAATTTTTACTGGTTTCAGGTAAAGAGCTCAAGTAATTTTTGCTCATTTCTAGTGTGGCTGAGCATGTCCTGTTGCTTCTTGGGACAAGTTGTTCGAACAACTTATAACTGGACCTGGAGTAGAATTGTTGTTTGTGGGACCTTTCATTGACCCGAAAGTTCCCACATGTACATTTGCATCAAATGCCTTTGGTTTTTTTTTCATAGATTCATAGAATGTTACGGCACAGAAGGAGGCCATTCGGTTGTTTGGCTGGATGTTTTTATCAGCAAGGGAGTGTATTTTTGCTCTGTCCTAGTTGACTAATTAAATATTTTGACATTGCAATGTGTTTGGTGTAATAATCTGATGAATTGTACTATAAATATCTGAATACTACAGTATTTTGTTGCACAATTATGAAAGCTATCCACATTTCTCATTTTAGACGCTGAACACCACCGAACCCCATATTTGTCTGGTGAGAGATGTCCAGACACTGGTGGTACTCAGAACAGAATCGGCTGTAACTAAGGTAGGGTGAAGAATGCAACCAAAAATACCATCCTTTTTAACCTTGTGGAGTCCTGTAGCTCAGAGGTCAGAGCACTCGCCTTGCAAGCAAGAGGACGGGCAGGGCGAAACGTTGAGCAAGTTTCCTTACTCCACATGCCTCTGTTTACCCAGGGGTAAGGAGGAACTCGGTTGTTAGTTGATTGGCTGATCGCTTTTCCGGGGTTAATAATCCCTTCAAAATAATTTGGTCACACAATCCATGACTGTTTGTGGGACACTGCTGTTCGCAGGTGGCAGCTGCGTTTTGCCACAAAATATACACTCGCTTTATGGTACATTCTGTGAAGCGCTTTGAGATGTCTCGGAAGACATTATGGGGCGCTATGTCAAGTGCAAGGATTATTAAAGTGCATTATTACCCCTTTGCATTGTTGGTGTACTGTTATCTGGATTACTAACTTCAATTTACCACTCTGTGCTTTGAATTTTTCAAAAAAATGCAACTGCAAACTAAACCAGATATTTGTCCAAGGTGTGCTATGATGACTTAATAAGGTTTCGCTAAGTTTCTGAGAAAATCAGATGACACATCCTTGGCTGTCTGAGCATATCCGTTTTGTTGTATTGCGCTCTCCTTTAGTTGTTAATTCTAGAACTTTTACCCTAAAAAAGGTGGGTGATATATATTACAAAATATATATTATTATAACTCAGTATAGAACAAATAACCCATTTCTATTTTCCTAAAGTGCAAAACACCATTTTCATGAAGTATTCCATCCATATAGTGAGATGCCCAATATAATAATAATTTGACTAATAATTTATTAGCCTTGCCACGCTGTTAAGGTGTCTCAAAAGTGTTTCACTGTCATGCAGTGACGATTTGTAGGCAAACCTTATAGCAAAGCTGGAACCTGCTGTCTTCTACTTGGGAGACTCAAATCTGGAATATTGGGCTATTTAGTGATCGATTAAGCGTCAAGAGTGGCTGATACTGTTGGTTTGATACTGAATTATTTGGTACGCCACCTAACCTTCAATCACATTTGGCACTAAAAGTGAGACGTTGCTCTGAACAAATTCAGCCGCTCTGTTCTCCTACAGCCTGTTCACTTTAGAGTATATCCTTGGAGCACTTTGAGAAGTCTTCACTAAAAATCAAATGCAAGTAGTAGTATATCAGGAAGAGGGAGAAAAAGTACAAAAACATAGTCCAATATAAGTTAACCTGTGATAGTTATGAGAAAGATTGGAAGGTGTGCAGAAGTTATTCTATGAATCCTCTTCATAATTGTTTTACTTGTTTCATATTTCAGGTAAAAACACCAATAGTAAAATCTGGGGTGAAAGTGTTGGTGCCTGGTACTCCTGGGCATAATGCAGCCATTAAGTCTGTACCCATGGAATCAAAGAAGATTGAAGCTAAGAGGAAGAAGGGTGCAGATAATGAGGTATGTTACATCTGATCTGGTTTTCATCAAAGCATTTTGTGAAACTTCTACGGTATTTGGGTTGGTGTATAAAATCACATCTTAAGTAGATTACTTTTAGGAGTAATTGCTGTGTTTTGTTGGCTTTTAAAACTTTCCTATTTTCTTTGCAGTGCGCTTAAAATAAGACTCAGTATTGGAAAGAAGCACACTGAAGTTCAGTGTGATGCACAAAATATAACCTTGCAAAATGTTTGTAGTATTTGCGATTGAAGGAGGGTAAATTCAGAACTAATCTGCGGTAACACTACTTCAATGAACTTATGGCACAGGCTCCCTAAAGAGTCAGTGGAAGCAGAAAGTGTTGTTTGTTTCAAGAATAAATTAGATAGATTTCTGCTAGAAAATAATATCTCGGGATACAGTGTATAGTTGGGGACACGGCATGTCAAGCGACTGACAGGATGGTGGAAGGTGAACTAGATGGACCTCGGTCTTTTGCCCAGCAAATTCTTATGTTCTCAATTTGGGGTTAGGTGGGTGTGTAGTAGAAGCAGCAGCTATCTGAACGTTCGTTGATGAACTACCTTATTTGGCTTGTAGCTAGTTGAAACATTGATCTTTAACCTTAGCTTTAAATTTGTAGTGTAAATTAAATTAAATGTAATTTTTTGTTGTTAACTGGGTGTGAGAAGGTAACATTTGAGTGTAATTTCAGTTGTTCTGTCCCTTTTGTTTCAGTTGAGTATTGAGGAGCGTCTTTGTACCATGGATATCGAGACGATGAAAGTGAAGAATAAACCCGGTGTGCCTCAGGCAGATAGCTTTGCTGTGCTGCTCGTACAGGGGTTGGAGAGCAACGACGCTAACATTCTAAATGTAAGACATCAAATGTGTGCACACTGTCAGAATAAACAAACACAGTGTTTGCTGACAGATATGTGGTTCAGTCAACTTCAAAAGACTTCCCCTTGTGTGTTCCTCTTTCTCCCTGCGCACCCCTCCTTGCATTTCCTGAGAGGGGCTGTGCTTCCTGAGCACAATTGTACTGCCTCCGCCGTTGCTGTGGCTCTTCATGATTTAGTTTTGGTTTAAATTCCCAACAATTTGTTGAATGTTGCTGGCAAATTGCCTACTAAGTACTCCACAGGGGGGCGCCATTGCAGCAGCAATCGTAACTCCTGGTACATGACGTCAAAATGAGTGCAATGCACCCATCTTAACATGCTTTATACATAGAGACATATATTTTATACTAAAATATATGTTTTATTATTTATATGATTAATTCATGGTTTATTTTGCACTTAAGAAGAGCACAAGCCTTTTAGTGACATGGAAACATAGGAATACTTTGGATACACCCAACAGCTTGCATTTATTAAAACAAGCTTCATTCGTGGTTTATTTTGCACCTAAAAGGAACACAAGCCTGTTAGAGACACAGAAATGGGTGCTTGACTCAGCTGCTCAGCTCCATAAACTGTAAAATAACAGTTAAACGATTTACATGGTTTGTCCCAGTCCACAGCAGAGACCATTCTGTTGTTATTGTGAACTTGCTAAGTCTAGAAGAGTGAATGCTTTTTGATGACAGCATTGTTCTTGTTCATTACAGCTCTGCATGTAGAGAGCTCCGTGTGCAATCTTTGCAAAGTTTTGTGCAGCAATCAAATTGAAGTTGTACATTGGGGCTGTTGTGTTGCATCTGTGGTCAGTGGCTGCTCATAATTACTGAGGATTCCGTCCAGTGATATTGGAGTTTTATTTTCTAAAGTCCCTGTTCTGGAAATGTGTATTCACGGAATATATATTATGCGCTTGTGTCTACATAATATATATATATTCAGTCATTCTCATGTGTTGACGACACTAGCAATAAATGAAGATAAAATATTAATCTTAATGTGTTTTTTTTAAATAGAAAGTGCTTCAGACAAAGAAAGATTTTGTGATCAAGAATACCATTGCCAGGTTACCTATTTCTTCAGTGATTCCATTGGTTCAGGAGGTATGATGCGTGTTTTAAGCCGACGGTGCCTTTATTTTTCTTACCAAGGTGGGAGGAATAATGTTCATGGCCAAGCCAAGACGACTGCTACTTTTCCACTAACAATGGGAGGAGTGGGGAATCCTGTCTGTTCTGCAGTTATATAATAGTCATGTTATTTGGTGCCATTAAAACTCTGGGTGAGCTCATCTTTTTTTTTGCCTCTCCTGGCATACTATCAGAGTGATCATGTATCTCAAATTGCGTGATGTTATTCCAGTAAAACTCACATAAGTTGTGTCAGTAGGGACCATAACATTTAAGATGACTTGCACAAAGTCCAAATTGTAGAAAAGAAGATTTATCAATAATCAAATAATGGAAGGTAGGGGAGCAGGGTTTCGAGTTAGGAGTTGATTAATAGAAGAAGTGCAAATAAATTTTATGTGGTTTTTGATAGGAAATTAAATGGGACTCGGGTGAATGTACGACTTAGGTGGCGATTATACGATTTATAAAGAGAGGGCTTAGCGGGTTTTACTGTGCATCAAATAAAATAACTTTTGTCTCAAAGCCTGAATATGAAGTTGGGATATTTCTTTTTTTTGTCAGTTGGGTATTTGACCCAGGGAAAACTCATTGCCATCAAACTTTTTTTGTTTCCAGATCACAAGGAGATTACAAGGACACCCTTTTAAGTAAGATTTCTATCTTGTAGATTAATTCTTCAACCTTGCAATGCGACATCTAAAAAAATCTAATTTAAAAACCTGTATTACTGGTGGTCAAATTGCTGCCTATGCTCTTCACAAACAAACTTTAGTGCCGTATCTTTTGCTACCGTTGGGTGGCTCAGTCACAAGCTTCTCGTTATGGCAATGTTTACAGAATTGGGTTTGTTTAATAGCAGAATTCCACTCCAGCTTTCCAAATGTAATAATGCTTTATAGTTTCATTTGATTTTGTACCTTATTACGTTAGTGTCTCAAAAGTACAAAGGGGTTTTCTGTAAAGTGTAGTGTGTTTGTAGGCGAACACAATAGCCATTTGTGCATGCAGTATCCCATAAACCACCATGAAATGAATAACCACTTTTATTTTATCTGGGCGATTGTTGACCAGCGCACCAAGATAAATTCTTGTTGAGCAGTGTCTTTAAGTCTTTAACATCCACGTGAACAGGCAGACTTGACCTAGATTTATTGTCTGTACGAATCCAGCACTGTATTGGAGTCAGCCTGGAATATGAGCTCAAAGGCTCAACATGGGGCTTGAACTCACAAGAGGTGAGAATGTTACCAGCTGAGCTTGGATGACACCTCGCTAAAATAAAACCATCTCAAGTTGGGTGTTTCCTCTGACCCCATGCCAAGAAATCCAATAAGGGGTGAATAATACGTAAATGCATTTTTGCATGAATAACACCGTTTGAAAGGGAAACACTTGAGGAGAAATGTAATAGATATGGGCAGATTGGTGTGTAAAGCACGGGAATGCGATTTTAATAGATAGTTGTGGTGGAGCTAATACCAGAATAGACAAGACTGGCAGTAAATAGTTTGCCGATTTGACATCTGTTTTAACGTTTGCTCATTTTTTTCTTTCTCCTTTTATCAACCAGTGCTATATTGATGGTTAAGTGGCTAAAGACTGTCTTCACCCACCATGCATCTTATCTCTCAACAGTAAGTACCTCTATAGTAATAATAATAATCCTTGCATTTGTTTTAGCCCCTTAGCACGTCTTCAAGACGTCTCAAAGCACTTCACAGAATATACAGTAAAGTGAATTGGACTATATTTTGTGGGCGAAATGCGGCAGCCAATTGTGTATAGCAGCGTCCCACAAACAGTCGTGGATTGAGTGTCCAAATTATTATTATTATTAAGGAGTGCACCTGAACTTGTAAATGTTTAGCACAAAACTATAGTGCAACTCTGACCTACACAGAATGTCTAGTGCTATTAAACCTTGTAGATGTTGTTGTACACCCATAACACCAGTGTTAGATTTCAAGAACCTCACACTTGCATTCAATCTCTCCCTGGCACCTCTCTGCGTGAGGAGGCGCTGTATAAATACAAGTTGTTTTTGTTGCAAACTTGTCTGTTCTGGTATTGGTTGAGCGATTAGAGTTTCCATATTCTCTGTTGAAGTAAGGCAGCTGGGAGAGTGTAACCACTTACGTTCTTACAGATTGTCTAAATTTCTACAATAATTAGAATTGGTATTTAGACTTTAATCTCAATTTTTGGGGGCCTGGGATTCTCTGAACTGCCTAAAATTTCAAGAGGAATAATATTTTAATGCTGCAGTTGTCTTGTTAGTAGCATGAAGTAGGTGTAGGCTTTTTAACATAGAATCATAGAATTGTACAGCACAAAAAGAGGCCATTGCTTTAACACTAGCAATTGAAAATCATCATGTTCATTGTTTGCACCCTTCACAGTTGCCAGACCTTGTGCCACAGCTAGGGGTCCTGTATCAGCTGGTGGAGAGCCGAGTGAAGACATTGCAGAAACTTTCTCGACTGCACGGCAAGCTTTACCTATTGGTAACCCAGGTAAGGGAAACACTGCCTATTTTCAAGAAAAGATATTGAATAAGTGAATGGGTTGAGCAGACTACTTCTGGAGCTCGTTTGAACAATTGTGTGGTTTAAAAATGATTTAGGGGATATGGCAGCGCTGGGTTTATTTATATTTATTTTAGATAAGGCAGATAGGGGGGGGGGTAATGTCTTCTGTTCCTATTTGTGTGCGTCAGAAAGAAACTTTTAATTCACTGAGACTCCTGATATCCTGAATACAGTTAAGCCCTTCCTTTATTTCCCTAGAGCATTTTGTCCCTTGACTTGAGCATTGCTCTGCTGCTGGGAGGTGGGATGCATTGTTACTGTGAGCACAGGGTGACTTAGCTGTGAGCTTTTACATCCTCCTACATTCGGAGAGCCTAGATTTCTAATGTGATGCTTTGTTCTGCCTGTTATATACAACCTATAATGGAAACATAGCTTTTCCTGAGAAGGATGTCAGGATTTAGGAGGAATTACTTCACACAGAAGGTAGTGAGGTTGTGGAACTCGCTGCTTGAAGCGGTGGTTATCAAATGGTACAGATGCGTTCAAGAGGCAGCTTGTCGTTTGCGTGAGAGAGAGGTGTAGAAGTGTATGGAACGGGGTAAGGAGCGGGTGAAGACTCGTGTGGAGTATAAGCACTGGCTCAAACTGGTTAGGCCGTGTGGCCTGTTTTCATGCTGTACGTTCTTTGTGATTCCACTGTTTACTGTGCTTTGAAATTGACACTGATTTGATTTAGGTCGCAGCTTCAGAGACGATGCGAAATGTAAAGGACATGAACCAAACTGCTAAGCTTGTGTACGAAGAAGGTAAGCGTTCATCCTAAGATGTTTTTTCCTGCACCCGGGTATGTCTTGGGTGTATGCACCCTGGCTATCAAGGCGTGGTCACTGCGGCTGGCAGGAGATCATAATGAGCACCACCTTGCCGGTTTTAAATGCGATGTTAAAGTGTGGAGAATATTTTGGCGACCGGCGTCTTCACTTCATAGGAGTGGGTACCTCGAGCTATAGGGAGCTGAGCTCCCGCCCAATCTATCTACAGCTCACTTCTTTGACGAGAGTTGGGAGGGGCAAGCCCTGAGCTTTAAGGAAAACCACTATCAGTCCTCTGAGCAGCCCCAACGCATACCCCCCCCCCCCATGGGCTCTTGCCCCTCTCCCAACTTGGCGGCGAAATAATGAAGAAAGCAGGACCGCCTAAACCGCGCTTTTAAAAGAGTTTTTTGACTCTGCGAGCTGAGAGATTTCATCAAAGTACAAAATACTAGAAATGTAAATGCGGTTGTGGTGGTTAAAGGAGACTTGCTAGCATTTTAGAGGTGGCCCTTTCACCTCGTGCATTTCCAACAGTCAGCTTTCCTGTTTTGTGATCAGTGGTGTTGAAGTTAGATGTGTGAAAATGGCCGGAGTGGGGATGTAAAGCCACTTTGGGATTAGTCTGGAGACCGCAAAGACGTAAACGCATCTATTGACAGCCCTGGAGTGCAGTACCGTGACTTTCTGGGTTTCTTATCTGAGATGCGAGATGAAAGTTCCTCGCGCTTTCGGCCTGCACCTCTTGTAGCAGCTCAGATTGAATAGAGGAATACACACTAGCCTTGTAACATGTTTATAATACACTCTGCACCTCAGTTGGGTCAAGTGTCAGATTGTATGATTTCTTATTGCTATAAATTACAACAAAAGTCTCTTGTTGGCTCTTATTCAGACATGTCTTATTGATTCCAAATTTGATCCCAATTGGTTTACGGTTGTAACAACCTATTTGCGTGGGGAGTGACACTGATGCCATGAAAACTTGTTTAGTCGGGGGAAATGGAAGGTTCAGTGATGTCTTCAAGTCTTGTTGCTAATTGGTTAATTCTTCCCTCGCAGAATCTTCAGAGGAAGAAAATTCAGAAGATGAGCTAATGCCTGAACAAAAATCTGATGTATGTAAAACAATCATTTCCAGCCATTAAGGCAGAAACGTGACTTCTGTAGATGTTTTAATATTGTAATCCGACACTGGAAACGTGGTGAGCATTGGGAAATGGAGGAGCACTTTCCCATTTCATGTACCCAGCGTCACTATCAAGAATGAGCTGATCAGGTGCTGCTCAGCCAGCTAGAAAGTAAAGCTCTCTCCCTCTCCTCTGTCTCAGTAAAAGGCTGTGACCCAGCCTCAGAAGGATAATTACCTACTGTACCCAAGCGATATTGCTGTGAAATGTAGTGACTGTTTTTTGTAGGGAATCACAGCAAAAACGACAACAACTTGCATTTCTATAGTGCCTCTCACCCAGGGTAGCATCCCAGAGCGCTTAAGGTATCCCAGCAGGTATCCTTGTACCAACAAGTTCTCAAACCAGCTGGGCAATGGCCAAGTTCTTCTGGGGAATTGTTTTTGCTACGAGAGTTTCTCCCTTGGTCAGTCGTCACATGGGATCTTTAACAACCACCTGAAGAACAGGCAGCTTTAGTATTTGATCCAAAAGACAGCACTAGGGTATCAGTCCAAGACTGATCTCAAGTCCTGACCTAATACTTGAACCCACAACCTTCTAACTCAGAAGTAAGTGCTGCCAACTGTGCCAAGCTTAACCCTGAATGAGATTATGGTATAATGACAAAAAATATTTTTTTTGCAAATGTCCGGTTTTCAAGTTGTAGTTGATAACTGCTTCCCATTGATGTGAGCCTGTGAGCTCCTGAATTCTACAATTACAGTGGAGCGTGTGGGGGAGAGAAGGAGATGGTTGTGGTCAAAGCTGAAACGAATGGGAAGGAAATAAAAGAGCTACAGATTACTATACTGTATTTAGGATAGCACTGCCTGCCTCCATGCCCTTGCACCTCCCTATCTATCCGATTTGCTTAATGCCCCCCCCCCCCCCCCACTCCACCACCCGGAGGGGTCAGACTCCGCCACTGTCGAGCGCTCTGGGACACTACCGCTCGTGAAGGGCACTATATAAATGCAATTAGTTGTTGTTGCTTAAGTCTTCCTGAGAGAGTGGCTAAAAAGAAATTCAGACCTTTTATTGAATGGCATGGCTGGAGAAGTGGATGGTGAGTGAAGGATTTATTTTGAGGGGAGTAAACAGAAAGTGGGTGTGCACCTATTGACAGCCCAGCAGTCCAGTAATGTGATTTTCTTGGGTTTCTACATTGAGGTGCAAGATTAAGGTATTCCTCGCGCTTTCTTCCTGTTCCCCTCGTAACAGTTCAGATTGAATAGAGGAATACATACCAGTCATATAACGTGTCAGTCTTGTGATGTAAGTTGTGTAATGTCAAAGGCATTTCTAATTACATGTTCTGACTGGCTAACTGTACCCATCTGTTACTTGCTGTGTTTTCTGTCCCAACACGTTTGTCATTTCAGAATTCTGTTTCTGTTGCCTGTGTTTTATTGTCGGGGAGGAAAAAATTCAGAGTCCAGCGCTTGACAAGAGAAATGGTGAAGCTGTAGCGTCACAAGACTGACTAATGAATTTGCTCTCTGTGTTGTGATAGTGCTGAAGAACATCACTCCTCTATCCCTGCCCATCTGATGTCTCACGAGGCCGAATGAAATAATTGGGACTTTAATTTTTTTTAAAAATATTGGGATATATTTTTAAATGGTTCGAAGGCGTAATAGTCCCTCAAAATAAATTTTTCGCTCAATTTATGGGACTGTTTGTGGGACATGCTGCACGCAATTGGCTGTGTTTTGCCCACAAAGTACATTATTCAATCCATTTTACAATCTATTCTGTGAAGTGCTTTGAGATGACTCAACGGCAGGACCCGACTGCCTCTCCTCCAGCACCGAAAGTGGAGGTTTATGCTAGTTTTGAATCGGATGTTTATGGGCATTTATTGCATTTAATCAATTGTCAGCAGCGAGTTATGTGACATTTTGACGGCTGTAAACAATGAAAATTCATGTAATGGGTTGAGTACAAGTAATTGGAATGTTTGAGCCTCCTCCCCCTTCGCCCCCAACTAAAATATATTCCCCAGTAGATTTTTGGTTTACCCTTAAATTTGTGGACTGTGAATTGGAACAAAATGGTTTCTTTTCAGGTTTAAGCTGCTGTACAATCTCAGTTTTTCCTTACTCAACTGGTTCAAGTAAGTGTGTGTCTCAACCCTTCTCTCCCCCCCACCACCCAATCCATTGAAAATACTGATCAATATCTACTGTTTCCCAATCAGGAGAACTGGGAGGAAGACGAGGAGGAGGTGAAGGAGAAAGCGAATGATTCAAAAATGCACGTCGACAAAGAAACCGATGAGGACTCTGAGGAGGACTTACACACAGAAAATGAAAGCGAAGAGGAATAAGATCAACTTTTAAGAAAAATTTGACTTCATAACTGCACACTTGGGCCAATGATTTTGACCGTCACATCTGAAATCTTACTTTTCAGATATTGTCTTTCTCTAATCTGGAGAGCAGTGGTGGGCTGGCTGACAGTCAATGGGCCCTTAAGAACTGTTCGTGCACTTTGGATTCCGAAGAATGTTTGACTATTGCTGTGCCCAGTTCACAAAACCTATTATATACAACTTCAACCATGTTTCTTATTGAAGTTCATTTTTGGAACATTTCTATATGGAGCAACTTGCTACATAGGCATTACTTGTGGTAAGAGCTTGTGACCGCTGAGGAGAGGAGAGGGTGGGGGGGGGGGGGGGGGGGGGTGGCAGTGGGGGGGAGACGAAAATATCTGGCAGGAGAGAGACCTAAATCCCAGTCCTCTGCAGAACTCTGGTCTATTCTTGTCACATGTTGGCCTGATGTGGGGACTAAAGCTGTGCAGCTGGATAAGTAGACAGTTTATGGGATTTTTCAAATCCCAAAGTTGACCAGTTTCAATTATTTCAGGTTGGTATGTTACAACATGTAGACCCGAGCCAGTTGACAAGAATTATGTACATTTGTCTATAAATCAGTGGTTTACAGCTCTGTTCTCCTTTGTAAAGTGAATAAATCTGACTCTCCTTTACAGTGGTGCGTCCTGTAGTTTTTCCTAAGTCGTCAGTGTGTTGCTCAGTCGTGTATCTATGCTGGGTAGCCAGTCACTCCAAAGAATGATGCGATTTAAAGTGTGTGGCTTTACCTGTATGCAGATTTTAGACAGCTTTGTTTAGCATGACCGTGAAAGGTTATTTTTATAAATCTGGTATTAACAGTGTTAAGAGTTGCAGGAGCTGCAGAGGAAATGTTTTCGGTACTTAAAACGAACTCAGTAGTTATCTAACCCCCCACCCCCCACTTCCTCAAATCTTAAGGAGGTATGATTTGCAAATAAATACAAAAATGTGCGATATAAATACAAGATACACGAAAACTGGCCTCCATATAGTTTCTAAAGAGGCTACAATAGTATTCTGTATTTAAATTGTAAACAATAAAAGTATAATTTTGCATAATTTTCATTTTTTGCTTGCAGCTAAACACAATAGAGCAAAGTCACTGGAAGTGACAATGAGCCTGTCCTGGGCTCGAGTCTACAATTCTGGTCACCTTGTTACAATGGCAAATGACAACAAAAATTGCATTCATATAGCGCCTTTCACATTGGGAGGACTTCCCAAGGTGCTGGACAGTGAAGGCTTTGCAACCAAGCTGGGGGTTGGATTCAATAAGGGTGGAAGTGAGTGGGAGGATGACCGAAGGCATGGTCAAAGAAAGTTTGGAGATGAGTTGAAGGAGGCGAAGGGATGGAGTCCCAGAGGCTGGGCACATAAAGGATCAAGGCCCAACTGCTGAAGGTTGAACGGATAGAGCGGGGGACATGGAGCAGACCAGTGCTCACTGAGAGGAGGGAGCGGGTAGGTTGGTAAAGTTTAGTAGGTCGCAGAGATTGTGAAGAGCAAGATCTTGGGAGAGCCAATGGACCCAGGCGAGGGTGGGGCTGATCGGTTCACGGAGCCTGGTGCAGGAGAGGACACGAAGTCTGGCGAGCAGTAGGAACATATTGCCGTTCAAGAGAAAAGCAACTAAATTGACAGTTTTTTAAACATTCCTGCATTCCTACAATACACTGCGCAGGGCCCCACATTCAGTTACGACCGATGACTATTTGGTATGTTTAACTCACCGAGAGTTTAACTGGTCTCCCATTCAGGGCTCAATCCACTGGTTAGGCACCAGCTGGAGTACTGTGTCCAATTCCGGGTGCCACACTCTAGGAAGGATGTCGGAGAGAGTGCAAAGGAGATTTACCAGAATGACAGCAGGGATGAAGGACTTCAGGTATGTGGAGAGACCAGGGAAGCTGAGATTGTTCTCCTTGGAGCAAAGTAGGTTAAGGGGCGATTTAATAGAGGTGTTCAAAATTGTGAGAGGTTTTGATAGAATAAATAAGGAGTAACTGTTTCCTCTGGCGGGCAGGTCGGTAACCGGAGGACACAGATTTAAGATAATTGGGAAAATCACCAGCTGGGAGATGAGAGTTTTTTTTTAAGCAGAGTTAAGGTCTGGAATGCACTGCCTGAAAGGTGGTTGAAGCATATTCAATAATAACTTTTAAAAGGAAATTGGATATATACTTGAAAAGGAAAAATTTGCAGGGCTATGGGGTAAGAGCGGTGGGGCGGGGGGAGTGCGACTAGTTGTAGCTCTTTTAAAGACCCAGCAAAGGCACGGTGGGCTGAATGTCCTTCTGTGCTATAATCTATGTTTCCATGACTCACAGAACCATCAAAAAACCTTTAAGTCGACTCCGCTTTTGGTCTCAGAACATGTTGAGAAGAGGAGGTGCAGTCAACTTGTGACGAGATTTTGAAAAAAAGAATGTTCAAGGATATAGTGCTCTTGCAAAGTATTAACGTAGATTAATATATTAAAATAGCTTGTTTCTTTACTTAGAAAATTATCGTTGTCACAAAAGTGTAACTGCAGTAACACTTGGAAAATAGTGTGTATGTGTAATTAATTACAATGGTCAACTGCGTTTTAAAAGAACTGCTCGGTTGTTGAGTTTGGCTTCTTAAATATTATCATTTTCCTGTCATGTGCACTTTAGTGTAATCTCTCGGACCATTTTTTTTTAATAAAGGCAGGAATCTGTTCAATATATTGATACAAATGGGTGTAGAAAATAATAATAATTCTCAATTGCTGTGCTGTGCTGCCGCATTTTACCCACAAAATTTATTCAATTCGCTTTACAGTATATTCTGTGAAGCGCTTTGAGATGTCTCGAAGACGTGATAAGGAGCTATATCAAATGCAAGGTTTATATTATTATAGATTATGGGATGCACCGTTGCTGGTAATGTTCGAGTGATTCCAGGAATGACTGGCCTCACCTGGAAAGATCTCCACAGCTTGCCATGACCTGCCATACACCCTGACCATGAGATTCATTATGAATTACGAACCTCCACTGGTCTGGTACTATTGTTCCAGGCTTTCAACCTGTGCCAATTGATCCTTTTCCAAGGGAATTTTGAAATTCCGAGCCAGTGTGTAACCTTCACATTTTGGTCAATGCTCACTCTCTTTCAATCCTTTTGGAACTCCATCCCACGTTCCCTTCGCCTCGCTCCCTCTCTTACCTTCTTCGAGGCACGTCTCAAGACGCTCCTCTTCGACCGCACCTTCAGCCACCCATCTACCCTCCCTGCCCTCCACCCCTCCTAATCCTAACCACCCCCTGCTTGGGTCCAAATCCCTGACTGTCCAGCATCTTGGGAAGTCCTCCCGACGTGAAAGGCGTTATACAAATGTAATGTATCCATTCCTTGACCAAGACAGCTGAAGGAGACTTACATCTGCTCCCTTGTCATCAAAACCGTGCTTATAAACCTGCCTCATTGACCAAAGCTTCACTAATCGTCCTTCTCCCCTTCCCTCCCACATCAACCACCTTGTTAGGTGTACCACATAGATGTTCTGTGTGAAAAACACTATAAAAGTGCTTGTTACATTTATTAATAACAATCCTTGCATTTGGCATAGTGCCTTTCAGGAGGGGAAGCAGGGGAACTGTTTACCTACACAGATAGACAAGATCTCGGTTTAACATCTCATCCGAAGGATGTGTACAAATGTGTGTAATACTGCGGCTGAGATTGTTGTAGTTCATTAAAAAGCTTGGCAACGTTCCTAGGTTTGCCTCGACCATAAAAGTGCGCGTTTACGTACTGACACTGCAGGTTTGGCAAAAATATTCTTCAACCTGCACTCGTCTCCTTTGAGCAGTTTCAGGATTTTTTTTAACAAAAAACCGCTCTCGTTTATGATTTGTTGTTTTCTGATTAGAGATGATACAAATGACCAGGAATGAATGACTTATTACCATGACAATTGTTGCCATAGAAGCTTAGAAGAAATGGGAATTCATTAAGTGTTTATTGCAGCGAACCTGGCCTGGCAGTACGTAAATTCCGCAAATGCTGATAACCTGAATGCTGTACTGAAGGTAGGTCTTGTCTTTGTGTCTGTGTGTGTCTGTGTGTTGTCTGTGGTGTGTTATGTGGGCTGTATGTTTGAGAAGCATTAAAATCTTGGTATTTTTAAAAAAAGTTTAAACATTTCTACGGTGGTTCTTTGAAATGCAGCAGTAAATGGGGCAGTGTATTAGCTTTTAGTGTTTGAGTGAGAGGCTGCTGCGTGGATGGTCAGAAGTGTTTTTTGAAATGAATCCATTGAGGTTTAAATGTTACCGTGTCTGCCTGGCTTAGGTGGTTGTACTCTTGCCTCTGAATCAAAAAGTTGGGGGTTTAAGTCCCGTGGGCTTTGAGCTCACAGTCCAGGGTCACTTTTCAGTGCGACGTTAAGGGAACGTTACATTGTTGGAGGTGCTGTCCTTTGAACGACACAAAGCCAAAGTCCCGTCTGCCTGTTTGGGTGAGTGTTAAAGATCTGATAGCACTTTTCGAAGAGAGGTAGGAACGTTTCCTGTGTCCTGGCCAATGATTCCCCAAATAAATTGGACATTCTCCACTGGGCTGCTTGAGGGACCTTTTCTTGTCTAAAATGACTGTCGTGCTCGTCTATAAAAAGCAATCTCTGTGCGTGACTTAATTACTTTTGAAGCGTTTTGAGTCGGGTTTTTTCGTAACCCGTTTAATATAGCTGAATCGTCTAAAACATTAATTGCTCGAAGGACCATTTTAAAAAAAAATCTCCCGGCAAATGCAAGAGGTTTCCTGACCAGAAATGTGTCCTCAGTCACGTTGGTTGCCAACAGTAACGAGACAGCATTGCATTCCCAAACCATGGTGGTTGCCGTGAGCAACAAGTGAGAATGAGAACGTTATTGACGTACATTTGTGAAAGAACTCTTGAGAAGAGAAAACATTGGGTTAGAGTAGTACAGCACCAACCGGATTGAACTAACTGCCTAACTTCTCCTGCAGACTGACCTGTTAAATCTTCTCTATCGTAAGTTACTGATCACGGCAAGACTCCCGTATCTACACTGAAAAGCAACTGACCCGCAACTACTGGAAAGGGAGTGAGCAAAACTGGTGATTGCTGAGTTGGAGACAAGGTTTGTCGTGACTTCTCGATGTTTTATGGCGGATTTGAAATGTAACGTTGTAGGCTGTGGGGAGGAGACCTGACAACTACAGGATAGGAATTCACAGGAAATTGTGGAAGTGTCTTAAACCATGTTGCGCTAAGTAAGCAATGTTTCCCTGCAGTTCTTTCCACGTTTCA